TTTGTTTACTTAGTTTTATGAATGAAATCTGTGACTTTTATGTGATGCTAGTAGAGATGGCATATCAGTAGCAGGACACAACAGCAAAAAATGCTAGATGGGATAAAGAAACATTGTGTGATGTGATAGTGTTAGCTGTGCTTTTCTTCCTGTGGGGTGCAGACTGTTTTGAGTATGGTGGCCTACTTTTAGATGCTCATCTTAACTGAAGTGATTGAATGAAAATAGCTCATTTTAAAGCTTAGTAGTTTTGTAAAGGTGGAATGTCAGATTGATATCAGTATCAACTAATAATGCATGTTTCAATATTGGCATCTCTAGGTGCTCGCGTTGCATGTAGGCTAAAGTGTTTCAATGTTGGCCCCCCCCAACTTCTCAGTCCAAATTTGCACCACTACCTCTCTGTCTCCACTTTTCATTCGCCTTATCTTTCTGTCTCTTATTCTCTGCTTTCCTTGTTGTTGTTTCATTTGCTTGCCTACACCCATGCCCTAGTAAACTACAGCTCTTTTTGTGAGGGCTGAATTCATTGCAAACAGAAATGCAGTAATAGTGAGAAACTGTACAATTTCTGTAGTGTTGCACTGTATAATTCTTTTGTAACAAGCTATGCTCTTCCTTATAGCAAACTTTGATTGGAACAATATTGATTTGATGTCAGGCAAAACCATTAATTTATACAGATCTCTGATGTTGAATTACATTGATTGTCTTATAGCCAAGTAAAGTCAGCATAACAGACGGCACAATGAGTAACACAGTCACCCTGCATGCAGAGGTTTGGATGTTTAATTCCCATCTAGGCAGAACTGCCATGTAGGAATTAAAGTTCTTGGGTAAATCTCCAAAAGTGGCACCTGCTGCTCTGGATTAGAGTGTCTGCTCAATGCTAAAAAATGTAAGCACTGTGTGTTATATTTTGTAAATACTGAACTAAATTTACTATGCTTTCTGTGTTCAATCAGCACTGCACTTCATAGATAGTAAATGGAGTGTTTCAGCATTAAATCAACACTCAATACTGGCATTAGACCAACAGCTATTCAAGCATTAGCCAGAGCTGTTGAATCAACATCGGATTAATGTTCACCATGGTGCATTTTCCAGTGTTGGATCAACGGCCAATACATGAGGCAAAAACAATGCGAATGCAACATCAGAGATCTATGTTGTTTTAATGCTTTTGCCCAACTTCAAATCAAAATGGTTCCAAAGAAAGTTTGTTATCTGGGTACTTCAAATACACCTCTTATTCTAAGTTGCATATACTAGAAAAAACACTTTGCTTTGGGCCTGACACTGGAAACTAACTTTTTTTTTAGGTATGGAAAATCAATTTTTAAAAAAATCAACATTCAATTGTTGAAATGAAACCAAAGTCATTCAGAGTGGTTTGATGTGAAATGGTGCATTGTAGATCAATGGTGGTGCATTCTTTACAGTGGTGGTGATACAAACCAGGGGTTATGATGTCTACAGCACAAATATACCTATAAAACAATCAGTGAACCTACATCTGTATTCTAACTTTTAATTTATAATGATAATAATAAAATGTTGGATATCAAAAAAAAAAAAGATTTTATTCTACAACCCCAATTCCAGAAAAAAAGCTGGGATGCTGTGTAAAATGTAAATAAATGTAAATAAAAACAGAAGACAATGATCTGCAAATGTCATAGACCCATATTTTATTCACAACAGAACATAGAACACTATATCAGATGTTGAAAGTGAGACATTTTACCGTTTCATGAAAAATAACTCATTTAGAACTTGATGGCAGCAGCGCATCTCAAAAAAGTGGGGACAGATCCATGTCTACCATTGTGTAGCAACCCCTCTTCTTTTATTAACAGTCTGTAAACGTCCGGAGAAGAATGTCATCTTATTCTTGTGTGATGTAGGATTCTAGCTGCTGTCCTGAGTCTTCTTTGACAGATTTTTTGTTTCATGATGCAGCAAATGTTTTCTATTGGTGAAAGGTCTGGACATTAATGCAACCTCATACCATCAGAGAAGCAGGCTTTCGAACTGTGCACTGATAACAAGCTGGATGGTCCCTCTCCTCTTGAGTCCGCAGGACACGGTGTCTGTGGTTTCCAAAAAGAATTTCAAATTTTGATTCATTTGACCACTGAACAGTTTTCCATTTTGCCTCAGTCCATTTTAAATGAGCTTTGGCCCAGAGAAGACAGCAGCGTTTCTGGATTGTGTTCACATATGGCTTCTTTTTTGCATGACACAGCTTTAACTTGCATTTGTGGATTACATGCTGAACTGTGTTCACAGACAATGATTTCTGAAAGTGTTCCTGAGCCCATGCAGTGATTTCCAGTACAGAATCATGCCTGTTTTTAATGCAGTGCCGTCTGAGAGCCCGACGATCATGAGCATCCAATATTGACTGTCAGCCTTGTCCCTTGTATATAGAGATCTCTCCAGATTCTCTGAATATTTTGATGATATTATGTACTGTAGATGGTGGGATATCCAAAGTCTACGCAATTTTACATTGAGGAACATTTTTCTGAAATTGTTCCACAATTTTTAGACGCAGTTTTTCACAGATTGGTGAACCTCTGCCCATCTTTGCATCTGAAAGACTGCCTCTCTTAAATGCTCTTTTTATTTCCAGTCATGTGAGTTGCAAATTGCTTCTCCAGTTTTTTTCATTAGTACCACTTACTTTTCCAGCCTTTTGTTGCCCCATCCCAATGTTTTTGAGATGCATTGCTGCCATCAAGTTCTAAATCATGAAATGGTAAAATGTCCCACTTTTGTGTTCTACATTCTACTGTGAATAAAATATGGGTCTATGAGATTTGCAAATCATTGCATTCTGTTTTTATTTACATTTTACATAACGTCCCAACTTTTTAGGAATTGGGGTTATATTTTCCCTTGTAATGCCCTGCATGTATCTCTCCACCATGAATTTAAAATATGTATGTTTTAGCCCAAAAACTTTCTCACAACTATTGCAAAACAATGTCTCAGGCATCAGGCGGTGTATTTGTAACCATTTTGGATAATAACTTTCCATGATATAGCTTTAAGACACATTAAACGCTCTGGACATCTGGTTCCTATCACCACCAGTGTGAAAAACTTTGACTCTGGAGAGTTTCTCTAGAGCAGAGCATTTCACAGATAACTACTCTGACTTAATTTATTTACATCTTAGCCATTTAATTGTGCAGAAAACTTTGAACAATCAGTAGAATTCCCTTATAAAACATCCAGCCAGTTTAACATCAGTGTAAATTGAAACTGTCTACAACTATGCTAGTTGTCAGTTATTTGCCTCATCACACACCAAAAAATACTTTTTAATTCGTTTGTTAATGTACGTATTTCAGTATGTTTAAATGTAGATACATTTTTACTTTCACTCTAGTACATTTTTACTCCATATTTACATTTTTCATTAAGTAAGATTTTGACACAGTACCCATACTTCCACTGAAGTACAGTTTCTCTATCCTTTTTCCTTCTTTTTCAATCACCTAATAGTACTAAAGGGCTGTGTGAAGGGAAGCGTTTAAACACTAAACGCTAATGAAGTGGTCACCAATCCCCCTCCTGGAGATCTACTTTCCTGTATAGTTTAGTTCCTACCTGCATCGAACATGCTGCACCATCTCACCTACCACTAATGCATCTGATCTAGCCAATCAAAGACTTCTGCAGAAGTTACTTAGCACGAGCAGGTGTGGCAGATTGTGGTTGAAACTAGACTCTGAAGGAAGGTAGAGCTCTAGGGCCTGGGGTGGTGACAACTGTGCTAACATGTGAAGTGCAGTAAGTTAGAAGCAGCTCTGAAGGATTTCACTAAACAGAAAAAGGTATGCATCATAACACGCTTATGAACCACTGAAGAAAAACAGATCAACAAATGCAAGAAACAGACAGAGGCTTAAACGGGAACCCCACTGATTTTTCAAAAATTCTAGATAATAAAATGGTTGGGGCGTAAACATAGTCATTCAGAGTGCTTTAGTGAAAAATACGTTCTGGAGAAACTTGCCAAGTCAGAATTGCTCACAGTTGTGGTGATAGGAGTCAGACATCTGAAGAGTTTAATGCCTCTGAAAGCTCCCTCACAAAAAAAGTTTTTTTAAAAAACAGGTTGTCCCAAAAAAATTTAACAAAATGTGTAAAAACTAACCAAGTTTAATTTTTAATGTTTTTTTTTTTTCAGGTTGAAGAATGGCGTTCATTAGAAATGAAAAGGCATTTTGTGTGTTAGAATATGCTCGAACACAGTCAAACAAGAGTGTGCAGCGTGAATTTTCGAGAAAATTCAATAAAATGCACCAACTGGAAAGCAGATGTGGACATGGCACAAAAAAATCAAAGAGGAAGGCTGTCTGTGCAGGGCAAAGGGATCTGAACGACCACCAGTATCGTAAAACATTTGTGAAGCTTTGTGAAATCGGTTATAAAATCTACATCCCTCTGAATTTCTTGTTCGAGTTTTGATAAATAAATCTTGTATTGTTCAACATGAAGCCTATTTAATTTCTTTTGCCTAGGACATGTAGTTACTCAGATGTTCACATCTCAGTTCATGTCAATTGTTTGGGACACCCTGTAGTTGGATATATGCTGCCTGATGTCCGACACGTTGCTTTATGATAGTTTTGTGATAAGATTTTGGCTTAAATGCATTTAAATCCATTTATTTTAATAAATTAAGGCAAAATAGTCCCTGAAGAAAACTTATTTTTCAGTTTTCTAAATATTTTACCACCATCAACATTACATATAAAACCTCAGAACACACGTGTAGGTTCACTGGTGGTTTAGGACAGCAAATAAAATATATTTGTGTTGTAGACATAACGTGAGGTTCTGTACAATGAACCATTTCACGTCAGAGTTCAGTTTAAACATGCATCTAACAGCATCTCCCAGCACTGCTGCGTCTGATCGCGTCAGTCGAGGGCTTCTGAATATGCTAATCAGCTGAAGCAAGTGTGGCATATTTGTAGCTGAAGTAGATAAAGTAGAGCTCCAGAAGGAGAGCTGGCGACCGCACGCTTAAGCCCACCCCTGTCGCCGCCCAGGCTGTGTGTCCACCCCGTGTGATAACTCCACTCCGCTCACTTACAGCAGTCGCTGGTGAACTTTATGGCGGTGCTCGTGAACACAGCTAACTGAAACATGGCTGAAAACGCTCTCATTCCGTACAGTTCAAACAACCACCGGAAACGATATCGCTGTTTATTCCCCGACGAAGTCAAAAGAGAAGTTAGGGAGTTATCAGCGCTAGCCTTGCCTGTGGTGAGTAGTAGTGATGGTCTTTCTCTCTCTCTCTCTCTCTCTCTCACGTGTCATGCTGCATGCCAGCGGTTCCCAGCCTTGTATATACTGTCAAAAACCTAAGTAAAGAGAGTAAGTAAATACGTAAATGAAGTGGTACGTTTCTCTCAATACCAGCGGAAGTTTAAGAAGCCTTTCCAATGCAATTTTTCTCCTTCTCACGTGTTCTGTGCTGTAAAATAAAGGACAGTTGTACGCTGATCAGAAATAATAAGTCACACCTTTAATACTTAATTCACTGTAACTCTGTCGGCACTTGTGTAATATTGACCGTTGACCGGGCTTTTCTCGAACTGTGGCTGCCTCGTCCTGTACTGTGGGGCCAGCAATTGAAGGGCTTCATAGCGACTGTGCACAACTGAAGCTGTACACTAAACACATTAGGGAAAACGGTGCATTGAATTTAATTGATTTAAATTTTAATATTATTACTGTTATTAAATGATGTGCACATTTATCTTCTGTGAAGTAATTCCTTAGACTATTCCCCTCAGATCCATCCAGAGCAAACTAAGATAAACAAAAATGAACTTCTGAAAGTATTGAGTTTTGGACTGGCCACCGCTCCTAGTTAAGGTTCTTATTTAAATCCCACCAAATAGGCTGTGAATCACTTGAGTGAGCTCTATCTAATGTCAAGTCATTTCAAATGAACACCATTTGTAGATGGTGATGTCAATGCATAGCAAGCTAGAAATATATGACCACTCAGGCTATATCTTATCATTTATCTCTGTATTTATCAGAGGTGGTAGAGTAGCCTACTCATACTCACTTAAAAAATAAAATAGATAACATGCAAACTTAAAAATGAGACATGAGAAAGCAGCACACATTCTGCCACCAGTGTAGCACAAAATAGAAAGTAGTAGCTAAATGTCAATATCTAAAATGTAACTGAATAGAAAGCAGAGTCCTTTCCACACAAGTGTACTTGAGTAGCAATAAAAGTATTACCACTTAAAAATAGCCAGGAAAATACAAATTCATAAAAACCTTACTGGAGTATGAACATTATCTAAAATATTAAATAGACACACATTTGCTGAGTTTAAATCATTAGAACTCAGATATTGCTAAGTGATGACTTTCTATATTTTTGTCCCATGTTTGTTTCTCATTTCTAATCCACACTGTTTGAGGAGTAATTTTTTTTTACTCTTCCAGTATTAAACCCATTATAGGCTGTAAACATGCTGTGTCTCTTTGTTTGTGGTACTAATGATCTTTCTGTTTTATTTCACTAGCTTTTGTCATATATTATGGTCTATTTAATAAGTTTTGTCAGTACTGTGTTCTGTGGACATCTGGGGAGTACAGAGCTTGACGGAGTGGCTCTAGCCATAGCTGTGAGTAGATTAAGCATTTTTCCAGCTTGATTTGTTCGTTTTATGTTTGGCTGTAGAAAGAAATATTGACTGTGAATGATTAATAGCAGGTTATTTCAAACTCCTTGTTTATGTCTGTGATCTTCTGTGTGCCCATATTGACAGATTATCAATGTGTCGAGTGTTGCAGTCGGCTACGGTTTGGCATCAGCCTGTGACACATTAATATCTCAAGTAGGAGTTCCATTTTTTCTGTCTCACACACACACACACACACACACACACACACACACACACACACACAGCATTTTCAAAGGAATATTCCAACATTTTCCTCCTAAAGTGCTCAGGTCTTAAATATGTCTTTGAATTTTATTTTTTTTCTATCAGGTCCACTTAAGACATTTGTGTGGTTTTATGTACCAAAAACAATCAATTTTCATTTGTACATGACCATTTTCCAACTTCTCTTTATTACGTAGAATTAAACAGTCATTGTTACTGTGTCTTCAAGTCTCAAGTAATGTAAATGAGCTCTGGTCTGATTGGCTATCCTGTTGTCTGCCTCATTCAAAAAGCAGGCTGAAACACTCCTTGTAACTTCAACATGAATATATTAGATATATCACCGCTGTATCATTTTTTTCAGTTTTCAATTGTCTGTGTAATTTGACACCACCAGCTGCCTTTACGTTGTGTGTCGATTTCATGATGAATCGATCAACAAAAGTGCTCAAAAGTTGCTTGGAATTAGCCCTCTTTACATTGACTTTCATGAACACCTTAAAATCCCAGGCTTATTGCATACTAAGGCTTATTATTCAGTAACTACAGCAACTTCAGTGACAACTAGCTGAGCTATTCCTAGGTTATAAAAGTGTGTGATAAAACTTTGGACCCACCGGTGGGCCCTTACCATTGAAGGAGTAAAGAACAGTTTTGCATTCTCCTGTAAAGTTGCCATTTTGGAGATACTTGTTTTTCTTTAGACAGCGACAATAAGTAAATGCATTGGTTTACATGATATCAATAAAACACTGGAATCCAAAGTAGTTCTATACATGGGCTGTGTGGACAAGTGAGTGAATAGTGGGTTTTGATACTTTGATACAATGTTTACATACTACATCAAAGTCTTTTGCTTAAAAAAGTGAGGAATATTTGTTTTTTTCATGGTATCTAAATTTTTTTCCCAGTTTCCATTTGAATTTCATTATTCAATCATTTATAAATGCCTCCTAAAGTAAGATGTGGAAGAAAATCACTACTCTAGGTTTCTACAGAGTATACAGCAAGACAGAAAAACTGAAACTAGAAAAACAGGAATAGAAACTAAAACTAGTGTGGCTAGAACAATAATAATTTTCCCCAAAATTTTGATTACATTGAAATATTGACCACTCAGCAGATGATGCAGTGAACCTGAGTTTACATTATGTCCTCAAACATCTGGACACTCCAGGCTTCGATGCCAGAATCATGTTTGTAGTCTTTGGTTCTGCTTCAATATAGTTGTGCTGGGGCGCCTCCATGGTAAGCTGTCACAACTGCATGTGGACGCCTCCATCTGCCAGTGGATTGCTAACTTTCTGTCAGAGAGGAGAACAGTCAGGACCCTAACTGTCAGAACCCCAAACCATCAGCACTGGGGCACCTCAGGGATGCGTGCTCTCGCCTCTCATCTACTTCATCTACTGCGCTTCCAGCCACCCTTCCATCAAGCTGGAAGGAGAGTGGTGGCTCATCTGGCTATGTAGTGTACCAAAAACAACCTGGAGCTCAACACTCAACAACAGTAGAGAGTGTTATAGGTTTTTGTGAGACCTCACCTCTCCATCCCCTCTTAGTTATTAACAACAATGCTGTAAGTAAAGTGGAGTCATTCAAATTTCTAGGTGCCACTATCTTCAAAGATCTCAAATGGAAGACAAACACAACATTCATCATCAAGAAAGATCATCAAAGAATGTTCTTTCTTCAGAAGCTACAGAAGCTTAACATCTCTCAACTGGTTCTGTCCCAGTTCTACAAATCCACCAATGAGCACATTAACCTTCTCCATATCTGTGTGGCTCAGCTCAGCCTCTTTCTTCTCAAAAGCCAGGCTGCAGCAAATTGTATGCACTGCTGAAGGGCTTACTGGACAGCAGCAGCCCTCAATTCAGGAGCTGCATGACACCTGGGTCAGGAAGCGAGCTGGAAAAATTACCATAAACCGCACACACCCAGGGAATGTGTTCCAGAAACTCTCTTCAGGAAAATCATTAAAACCAGAACCAAATGCCACCTGAACAGCTTTTCCCAATAGCAGTTATTCTTCTCAAGAAGGCAACAAATAATACGCATGTTTTATCTTAGCCTGGACTTTGTATGGTATGTGCATTTGTATTTGCATTCTATTTATTGTATGTTCTTGCCCTTTTGGTAACTTTGCACATCCTATATGTTCCTATGCTGGCCTACCAAGTTGAATTCCTGTCTACTTTGTCCATTTGATTAATAAAGTAATTCAAAGTAATATTTAAAATACCACACAGTTTACATAATACTATGCATTTCACAAAAAAAGCATTTTGAAGGAAAATATGTTGGATTATTCATTTAAATGATTTAGGTTTTTAGCAAGTCGTAATATTTTTGTTCAAATTAAAAAGTGCAGTTCTTTGATTCTTGTCCTTTATTTTAACAGACTTTTGGGAGTGGTAACCTCCAGCGAGTTGGTGTTATTGTGCAGAGAGGAGTTATCATCTTGCTGTTAGCATGTTTCCCATGCTGGGCCATTTTAATCAACACAGAGTCCATACTACTGATGGTGAAACAAAACCCAGAAGTGGCCAGGTAGAACACTTACAATATGATGTCCATGCCCTGCTACAGGTCACTCTGTAAAACCTGAAATAGTAACTTAAAAGTCAGTCTGACTTTGAAGGCCAAGCTCCATGTTTAGGTTTCAAATGCAAATCAACATTATACTTATATATACTAATATGATGACAGTTGTAGATAGTTCACTTACATCCTCAGAAGACGTCCTTAATCTCTTTTTGGCTGAATTCTCTTCAGACACTTTCAACATGCTTGCAATCATGTTGAAAGGTTCTGGAGGGCAGCAAAGCGTACAATTACACATTTCCATCAGAGAGGTCTCAATTTCTCCAAATATTACATAGTATAGCTTTTTGGTGGTCCTGGTGTTTTCTTTAAAGCTGTCTTAAATACATTTATTAAAAAAGGAGGATTACTGAGTCAGTGGAGGAAAAATACACTAACACTGGTGTCTCTGTGCTGCTGCCATTCCTGAAATATTTCTTTAAAAGTCAGAGTTGTCAGGTCAGATTTGATGTGATTTTTTTGGACTGAGTCATACAGATTGACGCCACAATCAAAACAAAGTCCAGCAGGATGGCCTGGATACTCAAGCAGCAATGGTATGAATGACTGCGTAGTGATAGCAGAGTGGATAACACCTTCCCCCCCCCAAAAGATTGAAGATTCGGTTCTCCATCAAGGCGGGAATGACCCCGCTTTTATAGTTAGACACTTAGTTCAACGGTTGCCACTCATGAAACATGGAAGACACTTTGAAACTTTAAACTCTGATTAATCTGCTTGGGAATGAACAACACAAGTCACATTGCAAAATTTTCTTCCACAGGTTGCAAATCTCCAAAGCCCCAAACATCCATAGTGGCGCTTTAACTATGAATTTAACTATGAATGGCTTCCTATAACATAGCTGTGCCTGTCTGTTTCAGGCTCTCTCAGATGTATGTGAAGATTTTTATGCCAGCTATTCCGGTATGTAAAACAATAAACAATTTTTGAACCATTATATAATTGTAAAGACTATAAATGTTCATGCTAAAATTAGATATCTATATATTTAAAAAAAAAAGTTTGGACTGGTGAAGAATGTAAATAAAATTAGAATGCAGTGATGTGCAAATCATGTAAACCATATTTTTAAAGGAAAATACTACAAAGCATATCAAATGTTAAAACTGAGAAATTCTATTGTTTTTGAAAAAATATATGCCCATTTTGAATTTGATGGCAACAACACATTCCAAAAAAGTTGGGATGGGGGGCATGTTTACCACTGTGTTTCATCATCTCTTCTTTTAACAACACTCTGTAAGTGTTTGGGAACTGAGGAGACCAACTCCTGTAGTTTTGAAAGTCAAGTGTTTTCCCATTCTTGCTTAACATAGGATTTCTCCTTTGTCGTATTTTTCATTTTATAATGTGCCAAATGTTTTCAGGAGTGACAGATCTGGACTGCAGGCAGGCCAGTTTAGCACCCAGACTCTTTTAATACGGAGCCATGCTGCCGTAATACATACAGAATGTGGTTTGGCGTTGTGTCGCTGAAATAAGCAAGGTCTTCCCTGAAAAAGACATTGTCTGGTCGGCAGCATATGTTGACAAATTATTATATATCGTTCAGCATTAATGGTTCTTTCACAGATGTGCACGTTACCCATGCCATGTGCACTAATGCACCCCTATACCATCATTTATACTGGCTTTTGAACTGTGCACTGCTAGACACAGCGTCAGACGCAGACAAAGCATGGACACCATGTTCATGATTTCTAAAAAGAATTTCAAATGTTAATTTGTCAGACCACAGGACACTTCTCCACTTCATCTCAGTCCATTTTAAATGAGCTAGTCTTAGAGTTTTAACTTGCATTTGTAGATGCAGCGCCACACTGTTTTCATAGACATTGTTTTTCAGAAGTGTTTCTGAGCCCATGCAATGATTTCCACTACAGAATCATGTCTGTTTTTAATGCAGTGCTGCCTGAGGGCTCAAAGATCACAGCCAGAAAATACTGGTTTTTGGCCTTGTTCCTTGCATACAGACATTTCTTCAGATTCTCTGAATCTTTTCATGATATTATGTACCATAGATGATGAAAAGCAAAAGTTCTTTGCAGTTTTATGTTGAGAAACGTTGTTCTTGAATTGTTGCACTATTTGCTCGTGAAGTCTTTCACAGAGTGGTGAACCTCTCATCATCTTTACTTCTGAAAGACTCAGCCTCTCTGAGATGCTCTTTTTATACCAAATCATGTTACTGACATGTTGTCAATTTAAGCATTACACAACTTTACCAGCCTTTTGTTGCCCCGTGCCAACTTTCTTGAAACATGTTGTTGGCATCAAATTCAAAATGGGCAATACAATTTCAACATTTGATATGTTGTTTTTGTACTATTTTCAATAATATAAAGGGTTTAAATTATTTGCACATCATTGCATCTTGTGCATCTTGCACAGCGTTCCTACTTTTTTAGAAATGGGGTTGTATATATATTTATATATATATGTTTAGTTATATTTTGTAAACTGCTTCACGTTGGGACTCACAACTGAAAGTTTCAGATTATTAACGAAAATTCTAAACTTCATTGTTCTCTTGTCTCAAAGGCATTATTTGTATTCATCATTGAGTCAACATATCTACAAAATCAGGTAAGACAATAAGATGTGAAATTGTAGTATTTTAGAGAGTGTTAAAATCTAAATTAATGACACATCTCTCTCTAGGGAATGATTTGGCCCTTGGTCATCACTGGAGCTATAGCAAATGTGCTCAATGCCTTGAGCAACTATGTTTTCCTGTTCATTTTGGACCTTGGTATCACGTGAGTACAATAAGAGTCCACAGTTTTGTTATGTAGCTCATGCTTTGCTTTGATCCAAAGCAACTTACATGTGCCAAGAAACATTCCCCCTCGAGCAGCTTTGCTTAAGTACCTTGCTTAAGGACCCAGTGGCGGGAACCATCGTCCAGGATCAAACCCATGATCTCTTGAGGCATAGTCTAGTTGACGGGACACAAAATGACAAGTTGCATAATGATGTCAATAACAAAATGTAATGTAATCTGTAAAGAGGTACAGATACTGAGATATTGTAGCCTAAAAAGACACTACTAATTTGAATTTTCAATATACAGCGGATCAGCTGCAGCCAATACTGTCTCACAGTATTTGATGGCTATTGTACTCTTTGTCTACATCCGTTGTAGAGGTCTACATAAGGACACTTGGCATGGTGAGTTCATATAAAATGGCGCTAAAAATTTCAGTGTTAGAGGGCCACAAGATATTGTTTTATGTAGTCTTGTTTACCAGATAAAGTAGGGTGAGTTCAGCTAAAAAGGGCCATCAGGTAAAGTAAGGCAAATAAGCTTGAATGTAACTATCATGAATAGATGCCACAAGAATGTTAGTCACTCAGCATTTGTTTTCATTAGCCAAAAAGTGTCCAGTTTTGCTTAGTTCACCCTACGCTAGCACTGATCTGTTTATGTCAAATAGTATTTTTCTGTTTGCCCAGGCACAATGTGAAAGTTTGGGCACCCCTGCTCAAATGACATTGTTGATTTTCTAAGTGTAAATAAGTTAGCACATCTTCTACAGAGGACAATTACTGCTTTTTTGCTGAATTTAACACATAGGGGGAAACAGTAAAACATAAAATGTGGCCTGGGCAAAAGCTATGGGACATTTTGTATTGTATGTTCTAATTTTTCCAATATATGTACTAAATTAAGGCACTACATTTGCACAAAGCCATGTTTAAAAGCCATATTTGGTCCTGGTAGAGGAGTTCTCACTTAGAAAATTATTAAAACATGTAATTTGACCAAGGTGTTCATACTTTTTGTATTGCATATAATGTAACTTATTTCCATACACATTTGTAAAACTTTGTGTGTTTTTAGCCTTGTAATGAGAAAGGATCATCATGCAGACTCTAATTTTCACATTGCCCTCATTTGCCTAATCATATTTATACAGACATGGCTATATGTGTCATAGCTTCACTATGCAACCTCCCATGTCTCTTCTCCTGTTCAGGTTGGTCTGTGGAGTGTCTACAAGAGTGGGATACCTTTTTCCATCTAGCTATTCCAGGGATGTTGATGCTGTGTGCAGAATGGTGGACCTATGAGCTGGGTGCATTTTTGGCAGGTTAGATTTCATACTCTCATGAAAGTGATTAATGGGGTTTGAGGGATAATGGTGATTTTTTGGCATTAGTCTAATAGTAGTCAATATGTGCCAAGCTCATTTGCTTTACTTTTGTACTTTGTAATTCATTCTGAACTGTTAATAATATTGCTGAATGTCTTTATTTTCCATGGCAGGTTTGATAAGTCCGGTAGAGCTGGGAGCTCAGTCAATTATCTATGAACTGGCAAATGTTGCATATATGGTAAATACTTATTATGACTGACTCACTCAGGCACTGTAATGTCTGTCTTTACAACCAGAACATGATGCTGACCACTATATTTGTGTGAGCTGCATGAAGGACAGTCTGTTCAAAAGTTGCAAGAGAGCTGTAAACTAAACACTTGTCTTCTTGTCAGGTTCCTATAGGCTTCAGTGTGGCTGGCAGTGTCAGAGTGGGAAATGCCATGGGGGCTGGGGACACTGCACAAGCCAAGCTATCTGCCAAGCTCGCCATGGCCTGTGCAGGTACTCCCGAGATAACAAATTATGACTGTCAAATTCTGTTTTGAATACAGTGTTGATTAGGCTGGGTTGTACATGTGTGGAGTTTATTTAAACTGTATACTTGTCAGGTTCTTTCAAACTGTTCACTGAAACACTATAAGCTTGCGATCGACCTCTGCTCAGTTGGCACATTTGTAACTGGCCTGTCCCCCGCATTGTTTGTTGATTTACGCTATGCCAAGTCTGCTGTTATCCTGAGAAACGTGAATGAGCTTGGCTCATAAACTTGTTTCACAGTCTCTGTTGCAGTGTGCTTGGCAGTCATCGTTGGCATTACCAAAGATGTCATTTCTTACATCTTCTCAAATGATGAGTGAGTGCTCCAGTCTTACATTTACAAGTTATCTCTACTTTGTCTTATCTTTTACTATCCCCTGTAAGTTATATGGCTTTTTAAATATGATTTAACCACAGTAAAATCCTTTATCACCTACGCTTATGTAATATTTCACATATTAACATGGATGTGGTGTCTACATAATGAGCTTAACAGCCTCAACACTGTTGGACAAGAAGCAACATGAAAATACAATATGAAACTGTCATAAACCGACTAGCTAGAATGTTGGTGAAAATGACCTGAAACATTGGCTTAGAAATATTTTCCCCTTTTCTCACAGACAGATTAGAGCGAGGGTTGCCACTGTAATGGTGCTCTATGCTCCTTTCCATCTGCTTGATGCCACAGCGGTGAGTCAGCAAACTTGTTCCTTAAAGTTATGGTTTGGCCAAAAATCAAATATAATCAGCCAAGACATGTTTGGAGCCTATAGTTTGCTTAAGTTCTATATTAGATCTATAATGATAATGTTAGTCATATGACTGCATGATTACATCTTTATACACTTGCCTGAAACCGTGTTGCATTGTTGATTAATCTCAAATAGACTCACTAATATGGTTTCTGACACTATATCACAGAACGTTATGTACAAAAACTGACAAAATGCCTTGCATGTCTCAAAAAAGTAGCAGCAATATTAAAACCTCAATTATTGTCCCTGTTTATAGACAGCAATGAAAATTTAAATTTCTAACATAATAATCAAACATGAGGATTAAAGAGAACATCATTAATATCATTGATTAATCATAAAATATATTATATAATTATTATATTATATAATGATTAGATACAAAAAAGACAACTAGAACTTTTTAATGGGTCGAATTTAATTGGGTCCAAAAAAGGGATACATTTTTGGTTTAATGATGGGCAAAACAGGTTATGACACATCAAGAGAAAGTAAGAGGATTACCTCATCTCTGAAAAGTGTATAAAAACATAGAACTCTGTACATTGTATTCGCATTTGGGTCCAGGGCCCAGTGCCCAGGCTGAATGCACTTTGCCTGTAATAATAATTCAGTGTCTGAAGCCTTCTTTGAAAACTTGAGATACAATACTTGCCAGACGTAAGTTATATGTAAAACTTATAGATAAAGTAATTTGTTTAACAAATGTCACTTTACACCACAACATCATACAGTGTCAGAAAAAAAACAAAAACAAGCCTGTTTGAAATCACTAAACAACTTGAACTGGTTTGAGGCAAGTGTGTGTTTTAGGCCTGTAGTTTGCACAGTGCTAACAGGAGTGTATAAGGTTCCATTACTTGTTATCTACTTTAGCCTCGTAGCTCCAGCACAGAACTTCTTAGTTGTCTTGGTTGAGGATCTACATTTGGAATAGAAGAGACATTGTATAAATCTGATTTTGGGTTAATCTATCACTTTAATCTCCACATCAAATTTAACCGAGTAAATTAAAATCAGTTATTTATTATTTATTTTTCACAGTTATCAAAGAAGTAAATCGAGAAGATGTTAACATGTGACACTGTACCTCCTAACTAATCAGGCATCTGCTGGGAGTATTGTTAGAGGCTTAGGGAAGCAGAAGCTCGGGGCAGTCGGGAACGTGTTTGGATACTATGCTGTAGGCTTCCCCATTGGAGTGTCTCTGATGTTTGCTGCAAAAATGGGAATTTTTGGTAGGAGACATATCTTTCTCACTCCCTTCCTTCGTCTCTCTGTCTCTCTTACTTATGCTCATTTTATTTTATTAATTCTGCTTCTTTTCTCTGTCATAGGTCTTTGGACTGGTCTTTTAATTTGTGTGTTCTTTCAGTCAGTCTTCTTTATAATTCTGCTTGTAAGGCTGGACTGGGCAAAAGCCACTGAGGAGGTGAGAGCACACTGAAGCTGATTTGCCTTGGCTCTTTTATGGTAACCTCTCTAGTCAATGATATTAACACCTTGATCTGATCACAGGCCCAGATCAGAGCTGGAGTGAAGACGAATTTAAAAGAGAATGGTAAAAACCTGTTATTATTTAGCAAATCACATAAATAATCAACAGTCAGAGACTGCATAATGTTAAAAAGAGTTCTCTGTTGGCAGACATGGTACATCAGAATGAAGATGTGGAGAGCGATGAAGAAGGCACACACACAGACATGGATTTGCTGGTACAGAAGCCATCCGTCTGTACGGTGGGGAAGCCACTATCGTTAGCGGCCTTGGTGCTCCGCCGGGGGCTGACTTTAGCAGCCATGCTTATTATGCTGGCAGGAGGGCTCATCGTAAATGTGATTCTGAACAGGTAGAGACGCAGCAGAAGGACACTAATGCTGATGACCACCATGGTCTGATTAGACTATGGACCCAAGTAGGGGTGGGGTCAGCTGCCCTGAACTCGCCTCAGAGCATCGATCTTCAGAGGGCATCCTACCCTTTAGGGTATTCATGGACTTTTGCATCTGTGGATAAGCTTAGTCAAGAGACTGTATGAAAGTATAATACTACAAGTCAATAAATTCTGTTTACAAGTTTGTTACCTTGCACAGTTAAAAAATTATGAGTCAATGTAATAAATATATATTCTTATTGTGAAAGTGTTCTTTAATTGTCTGACCAGTTTGTCCCAGTTTTAATACTGGAATGTACAAATATCAATGAACTCATCCCACAGACTAATCAAGTATCCTGCCAAACTTTACTAAAAATATGGAGATGTGTCCAGTTTTATATTACTGGATTACAAATTGGTATGCTGGGTTAAATTTTGTAAATAAGTACTCATTTCCACTAAAGTAATTTCACTGAATCACTCTTATATCCTCATGTACCGTGATACTGACTTGCATCACAGCAATTGCACCATAGCAGTTCTTATAGTTTGTATAAATCTATATCCCAATAACTTTCAATATACTTAGTATACTAATGTACTTAGCATACCAATATACTACAGTCAGATAAAAAAATCAGATCACTTCGAAAGTGATCCAGTCATTGGTCCCCTGGGCTCAAAAGGATAATGTTTGTGTAGTGAATGGAGGAGGTGAAGTGAAGTTCCCCCAGTCCAAAGTGCTGTTGGTAACATATGCCACCTCAGGCAGAGGCAGGATGAGATGGACAGCTGTTCCTGCAGCGAGGATGATGACAGCAGCTAGAGTGGTCAGGCCTCTCCTGATGATGAGCTGAGATGTGGAGAGCGGTGCTGCACTCTTCCCTTCCTCCTGACTCACACTTTCTTGAGCCGGTGGATTTCTCCTTTCCTCATCCTGGTCCCGAGAGCTCACAATCTGATAGCCATTCCCATTCTGAATCTGATAAGCATGTGAATATAATGGGTGAAAAATTGAAAATGGCTTTTGATATGTAGGTTACGAGATTAATTTTAAGGGAGAACTTCACCCAGACATAATGCAAAAAAGGCTTTGATATTTACAAGTAATATCAGGAGTAAAACTTACATCTGCATTAGTCACTGCAAGGAAGAAGCTATCAGAGAGCCGGTGGCTGGATCTGAAGTCTGTGTGTGTTACATTCTTCCCCATTCCAGCACGCTCAATAGCCTTCAAGAGGAATAAGTACTCAGTATTAAACATCATCTGTCTACTCATGAAGATGAACAGAGATGTGAGATAGAGACTGTACTGGACATACTTCTTCTGTCATTTTCTTCCAGTTTAATTTGAAGATGATGACAATAAAAAAGATTGCTAGCAAAAAGACAGCAACAAGGAGGCCCAACCAAAAGCCTGTTAACAGGAAGAAGAGGATGAGTTGCTGGAATAATTCCGTTTAAAAATAAATTGTACAATGCTGTCATGTGGGTGCAGCCAAGAAAAACGAACAAACCAGCAACTTGTAGCTTAGCTGGAAAGGTCAGAGCGATGCTCAGTGGAAGGCCAATGCAGTAGTAACCAAACAAGTTAGCAATGGCTGCTATCTTCTGCTGCCCAGTCCCCAGGACAATGCCCATGCCAACACACTAGGAAAATAATGAACACAAACTCACATTCTATAAATACAAAACCATACTTAAAGATGGCACTGAAACAGTTTGAAGGGAGAAGATACTATTATTTGTTGTTTTATATCATAAAGATTATTATTATTATTATTATTATTATTATTATTATTAGCACTGGAAAGCATTTTACTGGAGCAGAAAATGAAGCTTGTAATTATGGTACTATTTCAATTTTAAAAGCATTTTATGTAGTGTCTAAAATATATCATTCACATTCATAAGCTCCTTTGGTGGAAAAACTGCCTGTACATTTTAGGTGCCAGTACTTCAGATACACATAACTCACCAATATTCCATTAAAGAACTGAAGGGGGCAGTAGATACTCATTAGTTCAGAGACTAACTCTGCTATACTCCTGAAAATGAAGGCAAACATATATGCAGTGGTTAGGGTTTCTCTCACAGACAAATTGTGTCCTTTCTGTAGTTAATGTTAAGAACAACTTAAAGAAAGACTAGCAAAGACTTACTCATCAGAGGTGAACATAAAGCCAATGACTGTTTTTGTTGAGCCAAGCACAAGACCCTGAATGATCGCCAACACAGCTGCAAATGTAAGAGTTAGGGTCAAGTCCTTCGAAGCAGAGACTATAACTGATGGCTTAATTATTAAATAAAGCAATGCATAGCTCTGTCACCTGCACAGATGAGAGAAACCTTGCTAGTGAGGATGGCTCCAGCAGTGTCTCCAGCACCTAGTGCATTACCCACACGCACACAAGCTGCACCTTGCACACCCAATGGAATCTATATGTATCACAAACAAAACACATGCACAGAACACATGACTGCATACACTTAATATGGAATCAAAAACGGTTCAAATCAACAGAAAACAGGTAACCTGTCAAGCTACCCAGTCTGCGCTGAAAAGACACGTGTGTGTGCATGTGTGAAAAAAGTTGGTACACTGGTAGTATCTGTATACGCTAACTCAGCGAAAGTATGCTTGAACGTTTGCCTTAGCTGATGTTTACCTCAGTCAACTTTATTAATGTTTTATTGAGTCAACACCACAGCGATGAATGAGTCATTTCAAGATTACATTCCTCCATTACCATGTAGTTTATATATGCCAGCATTATGACCACGTGCTGAGCAGCCAGGTCCACCTCACCCAACATTCCTGTGAGAAAGAGGAAAGTCAGACCAATTAATGAGAATGCTCAAATATTTTACCCTTAAAAGTCAGTTCTCACTATTCATAACAAGAAGTATGTTGTAAGTCAATTTTAATTATTAGCAGAATTAATTACCTCTCAATACATAATGCACACTTCAGTATAAAAGTATATATGTAATCACATAACCATGTTTAAAAAATGGGTAATGCTTTACAGGAACTACATGGACATGAAGCATTCATGACATATTCATAAACAGTAGGGCAATGACAATCACTTTGAAACAGTCATTAAATATCATACATATTTAATATAAAAAAACATTAATAAGTAAAGAGCATATAATATAATTAATTGAAAACACACTATAAACTTCATGATTTGATTATGATTACATTAAAATAAATGTTCCTTATTTTCTCATCATCAAGCCTTTAATAACGTTTAAAAAACATTCATGATTGAAGCAAAAACTATGCAAAATAAGGAAATTTCACTTTCCTATATGAAACATGCTCATCAGCTCATCCTGAATGTGTGATATTGTAATTTTGCTGTAATATTGCTGTACATGAACAATACAGGAATACTTAATGTATGAGTAGGCATTGCAATTTGCTTAGATTTCATATTATTCATTAATGCTTCAACACTTTGAATAACAATAAATGTAATTTGGGTGTCTCTTGAGTAGGTTTACCATGTGCTTAGTATTGTAAACTCTTTATTCAATAGATTTAAATGTATTATTAAACATATTGGGAAGTATACATTAAGCATCACTAAGTGTGTTTTCAATACATGTTCATTTCTCATTAATGAATAAATGAAAATGATTACGTAATTGTAATGGAGTGTTACTGTACTGCTGATGAAGGCCATGAATGCTTCATTTACATGTAGTTCCTGTAAAGCATTGCCAAATAGTGTAGCGAGATGAAAGTAACAACAGAGATGTTATAAAGGAGGAAACCGCTCACTGGTTCAAATATGAATGGAAAAACTTCTAACGCTCAACATGTTGTCTGTTTACGGCGAAAGTCCCGCCCTTCATTAAATGAGCCAAACAGCTTGCTGGTAAAACAGAGAGTTGGAACAACCACCCACCGCCCAATTGCCCGAAAATAGTGCAAGCGCAGTAGCAATAACAAGTTGAAAAGGCACATTTTTGTATGCTATTTGGGTCAAATGCTGCAAACTATTTGTCAGATTTTTATCGGATTTTGCCGTTGTTTTCTGTTTTTAAAAATGGCAGTTTGGCCTTCAGTTTCATGGTTTTAAGCCTCTTGCCATCCAAAGAGATAGTCTGGTTTTGTATGGCTGGAAATATCTGCCTAGTGGGGTTGCTAAGATGTCTGCCAAGTGAACAGATAAGGACTTTGGGGATAATTCTTGAAGTGTTAAAGTGATGCATTGAATGAAACCACCTGCTAAGAATCCCCCAACCTCATAGATCCACCATTCAAAGCATGTCATTAGTGTGCTAGGAATAGCCAGCTTCATGTAGGCCCCCCACTCCTGCAGTGACTCTGAGGACCAGCCTGTAAGAGCAGTGAAAGAGCAACGCTGCCATATGACAAAAATATAGCATCACAATGCTTGAAGCCATTTTCACAATACACAATATAAATGATGAAAAGGAGAAAAAAACAAAGAAAGAGTAAAAATAAACAAATAAATTTAGATGCCAAACTCTCTATAATTGGACCAAATTGGGCTTTTTTATCTCTCAAAACCCATTATATGCTCAGGAAAACATAGCGTGATGTAATTTATCACAATAACATTCACATATTGTCACATGCCCTCTGCCAGTGCAAGCTAAATTAAACACTAGTATAAGCAGCTGAGGCAGGCTGTTCTATTGCCATTAAATGCAAAATGTAAAGGGACAAACTCACCTCCCCATGTTTTCACATGGAGTTTCTTTAAACGAATATAGGCAAATAAAGCAATGCAGCTGAAGACCTGAGCAAAACTGTTTGCTGCTGCAGATCCACTGAAATACAGGCACACATGCGAAAAAAAAAGAAAAATCAGTGTTTTATCAAAAGCACACTGGAGCTTTAAAGTGAAGGATACAAAGCACACTCACTGTACTCCAAGGTCCCACCAAAAAAGCAAAACGTAGTTAGCTAGCACGTTCACGATATTGGCCACCAGAGATGCGTACATTTGAGGTACAATCACACCCTGGACACGGATGTAGTGAAGTCATTTAAACGGGCTTTAAACAACCAATTCACATTTTGCTGTCTTACTTCTGATCTACAGCTATTTATCTCATTCAACAAACCTGATTTTGCAGGTAAGACAACTGCAACTGGTACAAGAAAATTGCCTGTACATATGAAAAAAAAACATGACATTTCATTCATTTCTCAATTTATATTCATTTCATTCATTTCATTTCATGTCATTTCATTTAGAAAACATAATGCAATGAAACTGGGGTCTTACTGGAACAGCAGGAAGGTAAGCAACAATATAAAGCTGTGCTATCCTGAAAGAAACAAGACCCAAATCACTGCTGTGCTTCCATTAAGCAGGCATCCATTAAAAAGCTCAGCAAATGCATATATTTCAGCAGATGCCACATCAGATTTTGAATAATGTTACATTTCAACTGTTATGAAAAATTCTTTTCCAATCAGTTCAAAACACAGATATCTAACAGGCCACAACAGCTTTCATTCAGTGTTTGCTCTCAATTTATTTTAGCCAAATGAGGATCAAAATGAGTTCAAAATCTCTCTATTTAAGGCAAGACTAAGTTTAAATCAGTCACCTGGCCACCTCAGGGTCCTGTCCCAGCAGGAGCAGGAGGGGCTGGGAGTTGATAAGCAGAGCCCAGCATGGCAGGCAGAAGAGCAGCAGGATCAGAATGCCCCTCTGCAGGATCACCCCCACATGCAGCAGATTCTTACTCCCAAACGTCTGCAGGACAAGATCCCCAAAAGCTTTGTTACTGGGGGTATAAGGATGACCTCACATTATAGCTCTTAAGAAAACAATTCAAAGCATCATGAAATCAAAAGACACCATAATTTGTTCATTATTTGCTCAGTTTCAAATAATTTTTAAAAACACATTGAACATATAAACGTCACTGGAGGTACTATTTACACAGTAGTGAACTATAGACAATGAAAACAACACACCAAGCTTTTTTTGATTTTTATATTTTGGCTAAATAATAAATGCATGCTTGCAGCCATAATTATAATTAATTTTAACATTCCAAAATTAGCACCTTCACATCGATGCATGCATTTTTATACCCACATTCATTTCTCATGAGCACTCATATCACTGCTAGAAGCTTTTGTGCAAGTGTTGCCCAAATGTCTTCCTTCACTGTTAAGTAGTCCAGACTTTGTTTATCATGGATCTGAAGTGTTATCTAATAGATTTCCCATACAAACAAAGTTAAAATCAACCCAAAGGAGCCTCCCCATACCTCCCCACTCATAGCGTTAAGCAACCCTAATATTTCTAAAGATGTGTATTACAATCTAAAGCAACATGTCAAATGCTGAATTTAAATAAGGCATTCATGATTCTTTAACCCCTTAAATGGTCAGGCAGGCCCAAAGTTTTACTACACACTTCTACAACCTAAGAATAGCTCAGCCAGTTTGCATTGTAGTCTGTGTAGTTACTGAATAATAAGCCTTAGTATATCATAAGCCTGGGATTTTAAGGGGTTAATGAACTTGCAGAAAATGAGTGACAGTTCTAAAATTCACATACCTGTGAAACCAGTGTATCACATGCTAAAGCTAGTCCTAACCCAGTTGCTGCAGTGGTTACATTTATTGTCTGAAAAACAAGTGAACATGAACAGTTTTCATAAATCCGTAATGTGAAATGATATACCAGTTCCACCATGCTTCATGTTATAATCTACTTTAAAATAGTCATAGGAAGTGCATTACTTTACTAATTTATCTAAAAAAATCAATAAGAAATATTGATGAACAGCCACAGGGGGAGACTCACAGCTGAAGCCATGCCATAGCCTGCCAGCACATTGTTCCCCAGACGGCCACAGAACATTGTGACCACAAAGAAAAGGAGGAAATTCAGGAACCGACACACAAGCTGGGGATACAAACACAATATTTTGCCAAGAGAGATGAAAGAATCAATGGGATCTTGAAGAACAAACAAAGAACTGCAAAGAGCTTAACAGCAAACTTAACAATGTGCAATAACAGCACAAATCACTGTTCCTTTTGTAAAATATATACCTTATATTATATATTTATAAGATGTAGAATATACTTTCAATGTGCATCATGTAGAAGATATACAGAATTGTAAATATACAGAAGATATAGTAAATATGGAAAATATGTGGACTTATCAGCATTTGATGTTCAGTGAAGCAGTATGTAGAGATAAATGTTAAGTCATAGAACAAATATCAATTAAAATTTGACTTTGAAATCATTTATTTAAAAACTACAACACCTGAGATGTAATTGTGTCTGTTGAAAAAGTAAGTACAGCTTTGGCTTCAGTAACTGATACTGTCCCCATTTGCCAGAGACAACTTTATGTAGGCATTCCTATAACTGTCTACCAGTTTCTGACATCTGCAGGGAGAAATTTTTGTCCATGCTTCCATGTAGAATTCTTTCAACTGTGCAGTATTTGAGGGGCTTTTTGCATGTACAGCCCATGTCCCCACAGCATTTCAATAGCATTCAGCTTTGACTAGGCCACTCCATGACCCTTCACTTTTGAGCCATTCCTGGGTGGATTTATTTGTATGTTTGGGACCATTATCCTGTTAGAAGGTCCACTTCTTCAGCTTCAACTTTTTTACAGATAGGCTTACATTCTCCTCAGGCACTCTTTGGTATGAAAGAGAATTCATAGTCAATTCTTTGATTGCAAGTTGGCCAGGCCCTGAGGCAGCAAAACAGCCCCAAATTATAACATTTCCACCACCATGCTTCATTTTACAGTTGGAGTCAAGACTTTGCACTCATGCAGGTAACATTCTCCTGGCATTTGCCAAACCCAGACTCATCCAATAGACTGCCAGATACAGAAGCGTGATTTGTCCCTCCACAGAATATGTGTCCACTGCTCTAGAGTCCAGTGGTGGCGTGCTTTGCACCACTCCATGTGGCGCTTGGCATTGTGCTTGGTGATATGAAGACTTGCTTACAGCTGCTCGGCGTGGACACCCATGCCATGAAGCTCCCGGCATACACTTTTTGTGCTGATGTTAATGCCAGAGGAGTATCACTGAGTCAGCAGAGCGTTGCCGATTTTTATGCACTATGCGCCTTGGCACTCGCCGACCCCGCTCTGTAACTTTACGTGCTCTGCCACCTCATGGCTGAGTTGCTGTGATTCTTAAATGCTTCCACCTTTCAATAATACCACTCACAGTTGATCATGGAATATCTAGATAGGAAGAAATTTCGCAAACTGACTTGTTGCAATGGTGGCATCCTATTACAGTACTATGCTCGAATTCACTGAGCTCTTTAGAACAACCCATTCTTTCACAAATGTTTGTAAAGGCAGACTGCATGGGTAGGTGCTTGATTTTATACACCTGTGACAATGGGACCGAATGAAACGCCTGTATTCAATGATTAAGAGGTGTGTCCTAATACTTTTGTCCAAATAGTTTAGTGTAGTGTACAACTATAAATATTGAAAAGAATATATTGTTATATATTTTAATCTACAAAATATTGTTGAATAAAGTGTTTACTCACAGTGCTGTAAAAAAGTATTTGCCCCCTTCCTAATTTGTTTAACCTTTGCGTATTTGTCACACTTAAATGTTTCAGATCATCAAACTTCTTTTAATATTAGACAATGATAACCTAAGAAAACAAGAAATGCTGTTTTTAAATAATGATTTCATTTATTGAAGGAAAAATGCTGTTCAGCCTTACCTGGACCTATATGAAACAGTAGTTGCCCCTTTAGCTACTAAATCAACTAGTTTACCAAATTCAGTTGACAATTAGGATCAATTTTAGTTAACTATTAGGATCAAATCACACCCAGGCATGATTACTGCCAGACCTGTTGCAATTAAAATTACTTAAATAGAACCTGTCTGGCAATGTGAAGCAAGCTAGAAGGTATCAAAATGCAGCACATAGTGCCATGTACCACTTTGAAAAGGGTTACAAAGCCATAAGGCTCTGGGACTCCAGTGAACCACAGTGAGAGCCTTTATTCACAAAAGGAAGAAAACTTGGAGCAGTGGTGAACATTCCCAGGAGTGGCAGATTTACTAAAATTTCACCAAAAGTACATCAATGATTCATCCAGGAGGTCACAAAAGAACCCAGACAAACATCTGAAGAACTACAGGATTCACTTGCCTCAGTTAAGGTCAATGTACACGATTCCACAATAAGATAGACACTGGGCAAAAATTACATCCATGGGAGAGCTGCACGGCACAAACCACTGCTGACCAAAAAGAACACAACAACTCGTCTCACATTTGCCAAAAAAACCCAAGACTTTTAGCACAATATTCTGTGGACTGATGAATCAAAGGTGGAACCTTTTGAAAGACATAGATCCCATACTTCTGGGGTAAAGCTAACACTGCATTTCACTACAAGAACAACATACTGACAGTCAAACATGGTGGTGGTAGTATGATGGTCTGGGACTGCTTTGCTTCTGCAGCACCTGGATGACTTGTCATAATTAATGGTTCCATGAATTTTGCTCTGTATCAGAAAATTCTGAAGGAGAATATTCGCCCATCAGTTTGTGACCTTAAGCTCAAGTGCATTTAGGTTTGGAGTGGCCCAGACAATGTCCTGACTTGAATCCCATCTCAAGATCTTAAACAGTCAGTTCATACTTGAAAACACCCCAATGTAGCCAAACTAAAACAATTCTGCAAAGAAGAGTGGGCCAAAATGCCTCCACCATGATGTAAAAGACTCATCACAAGTTATTGCAATCAATTGATTGCAGTTATAACTGCCAAGGGTGGCACAACTAGGTATTAGGTTTAGGGGGCAATTACTGTTCACATGGGTGATACAGGTTTTGAATAAATCTTTATCTTTAACAGATAGAATGATAATTTAAAAGCTGCATTTTCTGTTTACTCATGTTGTCTTTATCTTATATTAAAATTAGTTGAATGAACAGAAACATTTTAGTGTGACAAATTAGCAAAAATAAAAGAAATCAGGTGGGGGTGAATACTTTTTCATAGCGCTGTATATGACTCTTTTACACTTTTAACAATAGTCCATACATATCAGGGCTCCTAAATAACATCTGTAATAGTATCACAAACATTATAATAGTATCACAAACACTATCCTATAATTCTTCAACTTTCCCTTCCTGTAAACAAAAGACATGTGTGCTGTGGATACATGAGACAACAAACATACAAGATTTATATCACTTTCATTCTCTTTGTGTGTGTGTGTGTGTGTGTGTGTGTGTGTGTGTGTGTGTGCGTGTGTGTGTGTGTGTGTGTGTGTTGGGGCTGATTTCTCACCAGGGGTCCAGTCATACGCAGGATGTGGTAGAGCTCCTCTCTGTAAGCCAGAGGGAAGCAGCGCCTCAACCAGCCGCAGCAGAACATCTTGGCACTGGGCTCCATGGAAAGCGCTTCGGCCCCGACACTGGATCCATCCATCATCTCCTCTGTCCTCTCCCTCACTAAAGACACGGTCACTGCAGGAGACGGCCGCTCTGCTGCAGCTGTGCATTCCTCCAGCCTCTAGGAGAATGTTTCGTAACCCTTAAAGGTTCACTGATTAAATGAGGTGCAGACAATAGTGAGCTTTGATTCAGTCCACGATGGGAAGAGGATGTTTGCAGTAGTGTCTAGAGGTTTGTGATGCTGGGAGAGTATTTCTGAACATCAGTCAGATTTCGAAACAATTGATTGGTACTCGTCTAACAAACACTGCTTAAATGTATATTCACTTCAAAGACAACCAAGCAAGACAGCTTTGTAAGTTTACTCTTGCAAACATACAGCATTGCTATATCAGCTTTAGTGAATGTAAGTTAAAAACCTACACAAGAGAACAAAATAAACATTAACACAACCAAATAACATTAAATCATTAACTTAGCTTGTGGTCAACTGTCAACTTGAATCAACCTTTGCACAAGAAAATAGTTTCCAAAGTTTAAAACAATGAAAAGAAAAGGACAAAAATAAAAGAAAAAAAAGAAAAAAAACGACAAAAAAAGTGTTGCAACAGCTGCTCAAGTCAGTTCAGTGACACTGCTTTTGTTTTGGGTCAGCACTGAAAAGATTTCACACACTCCTGAAAAGTATGCTGCATCTCTGTAGCTGAAGTATTATTTCATGTGTAAAACAAATTTGTAAGGAAAAATGGGGGGATTAGTCATATATAAGCAACACAATGTTTTCTGTTTCAAGAATTTTTAATTTTGTGCCGCTGTAACGCTGGCATCAAATTTGTTTTACAGGTTGCAGATTAAAATGTCTGTCTTAACAGAAAATTTGAATTGAAAGAAAAAAGTAAATCTTTTTTGATTTGTCAGCTGCAACATCAATACACTACATGAAAACTACAATCAAAGATGTGGGTAAATAATATTTTTGTTCATAACTAACGATATACACTACTGTGCAAAGGTCAGTGACCACCCTTTATTTATCAAATTTCCAATCAAAACAGCCAATAAGTACAAGCTTTTCATTTTTCAGGAGATTACATATAAAATAATTCACTTGCATAAAGAAGGAGAAAGTCAAAAGAAAATAAGAGAAGAACTGGAGTTTGAAAATCTATTAAAAGATACAGAGAAACTAGGACTGCTAACAACTGTATAAGACCTGATAAACCACCAAACCCATCACCATGAGGTAAACAGTGTTTAAAGCTTTCGTTTTTGAGAGAGAGGAGAAAATCAAGGCCACCCTCTTGCTTCAGATCTGAAAAAAACACAGGTGTTTCTGTTCATCCTTGAAGGATGTGTGCTACTGTGAGAAGACAACTCAACGCTATGAGTCTGAAAGTATGTGTAGCTGTCAATGAGCCGAATGTGTTTAGGATTACTTGGATTGTGAAAAGAAGAAAATGCAACCAATATTAAGATTGAACTTTAAAGATGGGGAAAAATATCCCTGTAGATTTCTTTGAAAAGCTGAAAACAAGTCTCACAAAAAGAATGGAAACTACAGCAAAAGGCAAAAGGTGGACAAGCTAAACACTGAAAATTCGATATGATATTTAGTTATTGAAACCTCTACTACTACCACTACCACTACCACCACTACCACTACCACTACTACCACTACCACTACCACTACCATTACCACTACTACCACTACTACTACTACTACTACCACTATTACTACTACTACTACAATACTACCGCTACCACTACTACCACTACAATTACTACTACTACTACTACTACTACCACTACAATTACTACTACCACTACTAGTACTACTACTACTACCACTACCACTACTACCACTACAATTACTACTACTATTACCACTACCACTACAATTACTACTGCTACTACTACCACCACTACTACTACCACTACTACTACTACTGCTACTACTACCATCACTAGCAAATATTTGCATTATTCACATAGCTTACTCTGAGTTTGAAAATGGTGCTATACATTATTTACTTAAAATGATCAAATCTTTAATTATTTCTCCTCATAGTACAATACTAACAGTATTCATTCAGACCCTGTGTGGCAGTTAGATGTGAAAGGCTAGTGGCTGAAAATGTAGTTTGCTGCTGCCCAAATCTCAATATCCTCAGTTAACTGTATGAATATTAAGAAAATCAGGCATGAATGTCACTTTGTTTTAGAACTGCTAAAAGAAAAAAAAAAGATTGAATGGGCCTCGACCAAAACAGTTTCCCTTGCAAAAACAATGAAAAATTTTTCCATATAGGCCCATATTACACCATATATTTGTCCATGCTTTTGCAAGATATTCCTGATCTAAGTGGCCTTTGCCTGTTAATGATCTAACTTACTTAATTTAGCACATTGTTTGAAACACTGTTTCATAATTCAACTGCAGTGACTACATAGTAAAACTAGGCCAGTCACAATTATTGCATGATCGTCTGATTGCTATTATTTAACCTGATCACAATTATTTAGGCCAACTGCAATTATTTTCCACCCTTACCTTTCACAATCATGTGTTTATATTGCTACAAACAGATTGTGAATTCAATGAGTTTTCATCCATTAGTTTGAGGCAAATATGTAAAGAAAAAAAGCAGAAACCACAGGTATTGCGACAACAATAGGTCCTACAAAAACAACAAGTTCTAACTTGTGACTGGTGCTGACATGTTTGAGGTCAGCAGTGAGTAAAGTTAATGTTTGTTTACTTAAGCTCCAGCTGAGTCTGTCATCAGTTGGGAGCTAATCAGCCAACTTGGTCACTTTACACTTGTACTTTAATAGCTGCATACAACTAACACAAAATTACACCATTAATTTCAATTATTTACATGGCAATTATTCATCATCTAATATTTCAGGATTGTTAAGGCACAGGTAAATTGCTCAGTAAAATACTAAAGGCTATCGTTTAGATGTCACCTGGAAAAGAAAAAAGAATATTTAAACTGATAAAGTAAAAGCAAACACAACAATGAAGATGTTTATATCATCTTATTATGTAACATGAACACAAGCTTTACTCCAATGTACATTCCTTTTAAAGGGCACAGACATTAGAGCCTTTATGTCCTTCACATTTCATCTTATTTCTTTGCTATAATGCGTATAAGAACTCTTTTTTATGAGTGCACCCACAGGCATACACATTGCTCCTTGCACATGTGATGTGATGTACATCACATTACCCAAAAAGCATGTGAATACAAAGACGAATATAGAAAAGGGAGAGCTCATCTGAGTTCTGAGCATGGGATACTAAGTAACACATTTATGTGCATTCTTAGAAAAGTATATGTTTTTGCGGACCACTGCTGAACATTGTAACCACAAAGAAAAGGAGGAAACTCAGGAACAGGCGCATGAGCTGCGGATACAAAGAGAGCAGAGATGAAAGACTTCATGGGGTCGGCTGGGAGAAACAAACAACTCCTGCGAGCTTAATGTTGAGTTTCACAAAGTACGATAACAGCCATTACATCCACTGATGTGTGTTTTTTTGGGGGTGGAAAATTCCTTTCTATTTCTGAAACATAAATGAGTATTTTGCAAGACTGGCAGTGAATACAGCACCTATAACCTTGTGCTTACACAAGCACAGAGAATGTTACACAAATAGCTATTATCTAATAGCTAACATCTATAAGCTATTGAACATATTCAGAAATTATTAACTGAGTAAAACAAATTGATGGAAATATTAACTATATAGAATGCCAAGGACACTGGTTGATTTTGTTAATAGATAGATAGATAGATAGATAGATAGATAGATAGATAGATAGATAGATAGATAGATAGATAGATAGATAGATAACGACAGAATGAAATGACAAACTCAGTTTCAAATGACAGCGAGGAGAGTAAAACATGAGCAGTTTCACAAAAACAAGCCTAAAACCTTTATTTTAGTCTTTCAGATTAAAGATTATAAAGGTCAAAGAACTGAATGCTGATTTCAAATGGACATCAATGAACTAGTCTGAGGAGAAGGTGTAGTATAGTGCAGTGTAGTGTTAGACAGTAGAGTGGCATTGGCACCAAGAGCATGAGGAACCTCAGGCAGAGGCACTATGACATGAATAGATGTCCCTACAGCAAAGATGAGGACAGCAGCCAGAGTGGTCAGGCCTCTCCTGATGATGAGCTGAGACAGTGACAGTGGTGCTGCACTCTCTCCTTCACCCTGACGCATTCTCACTCCTTCCTGACCGATTCTCAGTCGTTCCTGATCCACTGATCTGCTCCTGTTGTCATCTGAGTCCTGAGAGCTCACAGCTTGGTAATCATTCCCATTCTAGCAAACGGGAGATAAATGCTAAACTTATTCTCACCATTCCAGCAGTTAAAAGAGTACAGTTCAACATATTTCTGATAAATCAGACAAAAATGCTTGCAAAATTCAACTACTACTTATTAGCTATGCAACATATTATGTCCACTTTTTATATGTCATCTGTCAGAAACACCATAATCAGGTTAGCTAATACAATCTTACAGCTCCAGTACTAAACAAAAGAAGCAAACGTCAGATATCAAGCATGTTTTGGCTGATTGACTGCATTTGGAATGAGGGGAAAATTGTGCCATTTAGATTTCTCACCAAACTATTGTTTTAAGATAAAAAAGAACCAGATATATCAGAAGAAACATTGACATTAATGAATGAAAGTGAGTTTTAGTTTCATAGGTCATAATCAGTCTGAAAAGACTTGCCTCTGCATTGTTTGACGTGTATTCCGTTGGGCCTAAACTCTCTGGGATCAGACGATTTGGATCACTCTCAAAATCTGATATCATCCCAGACATCTTATGTTTTCCAGCACGTTCAATGGCCTGAAATATGAAACAATATATATTCATATAGGATTGGTTCAGGATAACTATTTAATGAAACTTAATAATTAGCAAGGTGTTCTACTCAGTGAGATTTTGCAAGATTTAGAGTTACTGGATTTTCCTTTACCTCTTTTGTTAATCTCTCCCAGTTAAGTTTGAAAATGACTATGATGAAAAATGTAGACTGTATGCAAACACAGATGAGAAGACCAAACCAAAAACCTGCAGTAACAAATGAACAAGGGCAAACAAGAAAAATGCTATAAACATGCACATTATGATATCATATATATATATATATATATATATATATGTGTGTGTGTGTGTGTGTGTGTGTGTGTGTGTGTATTACATTATTTACATTAATTTTCTTTTTGATCTTTTATTCAAAATTTTAACAAAAATCTAACCTTTATTTGAAGAACAATGATTGGAAGAAAAAACTTATATCTTTCCACAAAATAAATATTTTTCTTAAATCCATGTGTCCCACAGTTGTTGGCACCCCTAGAAATGAAATATATTCCCATTAACATGTTATGTTTTAAGTTGACCTCAGCAATTAGGAACACTTAAATGGCCAGCCATGACTTCCTGTTTCACTGGGGTATAAATATGAATTAACAAACTTCCTTAGTCATCCATCACTATGAGAAAGACCAGACAACACAGAAATGATGGAGCACAAAAGGTTGTTGAGCTACACAAATCCGGAAATACCTACAAGAAAAAAGTTGAAATGCCCATTTCCATTTTCAGGGCAATAATTAAGAAGTTGAAAGTAACTTGAGATGTTAAGAATCTGCCCAGAAGAGGACTTGTGTGTATATTGGTTTTAGTAGACAAAGAATCTCCAAGGATCCATCCATCCATCCATCCATCCATCCATCCATCATCTAAACCGCTTATCCTTCTGGGTCACGGTGGGGTGCTGGAGCCTATCCCAGCTGTCATTGGGCGGAAGGCAGGATACACCCTGGACAGGTCACCAGTCCATCGCAGGGCAGACAGACAGACATACACATTCACACCTAGGGGCAATTTAGCATGTCCAATCAGCCTGACTGCATGTTTTTTTTGGACTGTGGGAGGAAACCGGAGTACCCGGAGGAAACCCACGCAGACACGGGGAGAACAGGCAAACTCCACACAGAAACGACCCTGGTCACCTGGCCAGGGATCGAACCCAGGCCCTTCTTGCTGTGAGGCGACAGCGCTACCCACTGCGCCACCGTGCCGCCATCTCCAAGGATCACAGTTGGGAATTTATTGGGTCTTGGGTCACCTACATAACCACAGGTGATTTGGACGATTACCAGGGGAAAATCTCTGCTGTCAAGCACCAACCAACTTAAGTGCCTGCAGTTTCCCACTTTACTGGAACTTCCAGTGGAACTGTATTTTTTTAAGGTCAGATGAAACCAAAATGGAGCTTTTTGGCAACAAACACCAGAGGTGGGTTTGGCGTAGACAAAAAATAGCCACACAGAAAGGTACTTCACCGCACTGAAGTATGGTGGCGGATCTATGATGATGCAGGGCTGTTTTTCTTCTAAAGGCCCTGGACAACTTGTTCGGTATCATGAACTCCATCAAGTGCCAGCAGATATTAAATCTTAACCTGACTGCCTCAGCCAGGAAGATTAAAGGTGCCGTAGAATGGAAAACTATGCTTACATCAGCACTGTTAAAAAAGGAGAGTTCGGTACATGGAACAAACATTCTGTGCCAACGTTACTGGAACTTTCAATAGCAAACATGTTTTAATATTTTGGCGCAGTATTAAATGAAGGAGTGTCAACAAATGTGGCACACATAAATTTGGGAAAAATATTTATTTCATGATAAGACTTTTCAATCATAGGCGTAATGATTCTCTAAAAAATTAAGTTCTAAAAAATGTAATTTTTTGTTCATTTTTTATTTAATAGGGCCATGATGCTTGTTGTACATAAGCTCTGTAAGTACTGTAGTAATATTCTTATTTCATTGTTAAGTTGTAGCTCTAAACAAAAGGGTTAAATTCTTGAAACACCCAATGGAATTAGGATTAGGATTAGGATTAGGATTTTTTCCCTCTGTAGTGTCTAACTAGATAAAGCCAAGTTAACTCTCCCACTGGTAGGACTTCAGGGGCTGGATTGAAGGCCTAATGTGTCTGATTAACTGTCAGCATAATTAGTAACTAACAGTTGAATTAATTAGTCACATTGTGATTTGCAGGAAGTGGGACTAATTTTGTGAGAAAAAAAACATCACTGTAGACCTTCTGAATTCTTTTCTTCTTTATTCTTTTTTCTGATTCTTTTTTGGGATCTACTCCCAGCCCTAAGAAACTAAAAACAGTGTCAGCTCTATGGTAGGGCTATTTACTGAACTGCTGCAAGATAAAATATGTGTTAATGTCTGTTCCAAGTTTCAGTTAAAAACATGTTTTACAAGCTTCAAATGTCTGTGTTTAATGTAGAATGTCCAAAAAAGTTACACTACTAGAACCCCATAGGGGTGACAGTACAAATAAGCAATACTGTAAACTTGTTGGTTTGTTATATACAGTACAGTACAATTGGGCAACAATGTATAGAAGAAAAAACCTCACAAACCAATAATTTCTAGTTTTGCTGCAAACATGAGAGAGATGCCCAGTGGAAGTCCAATGCAGTAGTAACCAAAGAGGTTAGCCACAGCTGCTATCTTCTGCTGTCCTGAACCCAGGAGAATGCCCATGCAGACACACTGCATGACAAAGAAAAAGGTGTGTGGTGAAAGACATCTTAATCGTTGTTCTATGCTTTAAAAATTAAAACAAAAACATCTCAACTCACCACAAGACCATCAAAGAACTCCAAAACGCAATAGACACTCATAAGTTTGGACACTAGCTCTACAATCTGCCTGAAAATAGGACATATATAGTGAGTTATATATAGTTATACATAGTAAATAAAATATATAGTTGCTCATACATTCAGAACCCTTACCTATCATCTGTAAATAAGTAACCAATGACTGACTTCAATGAAACCAGCACAGCACCCTGTAGGACAGCTAGGATAGCTGTGACATCAAATCAAGAGAAAATAAGAAAGTTTACAGTTGTGTACAATAAATGGCTGAATAGAAACTGAATCAGAGTATAATGTGTTAGTAAACCTGTGCATGTCAGAGAAACTTTGCAAGTGAGGACGGCTCCAGCAGTGTCTCCAGCCCCAAGTGCGTTACCTACCCGCACACAAGCTGCACCCTGAATGCCTAAAGGGAACTAAACATTTGCATTAATGAGTTAGGAATACAGGTACAAATCTTAAGAACAGCATTACCATGTAAAAGGAACACGCCAGCATTTTCAGCCTCATCTTGGTTATACATAGAATACAAAACTGTTGACTTGAAACACACTTATTATAGAATCCATCCGTTCACATGAAAGCTGTATATTAATATAATTCGTTCTTTCGGAGACGTAACCAGTTTTCCAAAGGGAAGAACCTGTGGTAATTCATTACCAATGCAGATGTGTGGGTGAAGAGTTCCTTCCTGATCATGTTTATCACAAATATTATCATTTATTTGTGTATTATATAGTGTATAGGCCATATTACCCTAAGCAGTAACTAGGCTAAAATTAAGTATTCAAAGGTTTATGTGGTACATAGCTTTAATTTCATGGGAACAAATGAAAAAACAAAACAGAGACTTGAGCACTACAATGCTGTATAATATGACATCAGGCCTCCAGTACTAGAGTCTAATGCCCCTGTTGTAGAGATTGGGTTGAAAAATACTGTAGTGTTCCTTTACAGAATATGTCTAATACTAGCGCTTCTATAAACTCTAACAGTTTGGGCCTGAGTGACTGTGTTGTAAATACCAGTGTCAGTGTTCATTAGTTCAGTGTTTGCTGAAACATCAGACTATGAAGTTAATGTTTGATTGGGTTCAGCACTTAGATTTTCTCTTGTACTTCTTTCAGAATTCTTTCAAATTAACAAACCATGTAGTTCAAGGCTGCCAGCGTTATGACTGTATGTTGAGCTGCCAGATCCAATTCACTCAGCATCCCTGAAACATAACAGAATAAATTTTTGATCAGAAAGAACAAATATTTAATGACATAGCTGGAATATCACCTTCATTAGGCAGCTGTGGAAATGGATTTTTACTTCAAGCTGAAAAGACCGAGCATTTCCTTTAGTTTGTGTGTATCATCTTATAAATAATAAATACAAGTGCAGATTAATGTCGGTAATAATTAAGATGCACACCTGGCCACATGGCAAAGCAAGACAGTTTGGGGACTGTGATTTTGTCTCTGCTCTCCGCTGAATCCCATCACTATCTGAGAGATGTGTTCAGAATCACAGCAGGCATACTAATTGGTTTGTGCATTTTGCTTATTTGTTTTGAGCGAGACCTTGGTGTCTCTGCGCGAAAAACTAATACACTGAACAAGAGAGAATTAACCCGTTACCAACATGTAAGTGCAAAATAAAAAGCAACACCACTAAAAAAAAAACAAAAAAAAAACACATTATTACTATCAGAAATAAAACCTTTTCAAAATGGCAACTTTACAGGAAATGGAAAAACATTCTTGATTTGTAATGGAAGTTAATATAAAAAGATTTCTTTCCAAGTATTTTTGGACCATTTCTGTTGGTCTGTTCATCATGAAATGCTAACACAAAGTGAAGGGTAGCTGTAAATGCAGTTTACAGCAATGACTACATAGTGTAGCATGAGCCATGCACTAGATGTACTTTTTGTATATTGAATACTGACACACTTGATAAGCAGCCACGACGGCTGTGTATGACTGTGGTAAACTCAATCTGAAACCTACATTAACGAATCTAAATCGAATCAGATAAGTCATGATTTTTTGCATATCATATATTGGCACACTTGGTAAGCAGCCTTAAAAGTGTTCAAGATACTACAGTGTTCCATGTATACCTGCTAAGAATCCTCCCAGTTCGTATATCCACCACTCAAAGCAGAGCATCATTGTGCTGGGGACTGCTAACTTCATGTAAGCCCCCCAGTCCTGCAGTGACTCTAAAGACCATCCTGTACAGAAAATGAGTCAGTGCAGAGCAGAGTTGGCTGGTGCACTTTATACACTGATGTAAACAACAGGCTGTTCGAGAACAAGATGAAAATGATTAGTGATAGCACGTCTAGCCTCACCTCCCCATGTTTCAGCATGCAGCCTCTTCCAGCGAATGTAAGCATAGAGAAATACACAAATGTAGACCTCTGACAGAGCACTGGCTGCAGCAGACCCACTGACATCCAAAGACAGAAAACACAAAATGAATTTTAAAAAGGTTGACACTACTTGACCTATTCATGCTCCACCCACAGAGGCATTCCTTTGCAGCTTCTGTTGCAAGCTTGGACGAGCTTTACAGAACATTGAAAAAAGTTCTATCCAACATAAAAAGAAAGTGTAGAACACTGTGCTACATAATGCTGAGATTCCACAAGAAATACAATGCAATCAAGCTGGTAGCTAATCAAAGCTAGAAAGGATTGACTAATTGGCACCACACAAACATTAGTTTGATTAGACAACGAAAGACCAGTTCCATGTGCTAATCTCCACAAATTAGCAATCAAATCAAGTGCACAGACTTTTTCATTTTTGGTCATAATATCATGAATGAATAGAATGAAAGCCAGCTGTGTATTTCTTTATATTTTTGAGCAAACACAATTAAAAAAAATTGTATACCCTGTTTATTTCTGATGTACCCTCAGTGATTTTTTTGTGGAACAGGGCCTGGTTGTGCGCTACAACTTCTGATTAGGCTGAATGAAATGTTTGCCACCAATCTCTCGGGTCCAGCTGGAGGAGCATGGACAGCTCTTACCCAGGCCATCCAGGTACTGATTTATTCAAGTATAAATGGTAACTTGTGTTAAAATAAGTTGTGGTGTCATTGTCATTTTCATTGTTGCCAACATCAGTTGACTGTAAATTTGCTACTTAAAATGATTGCTTTTTCTACATTTTGCTTTACATAGGCTAATGACTATGTCAACATAAATGTCATTTTCTGCATATTATGTCATTAAACATAAGATATAAATGACCCTTTACCTTGCCTGCTGTGGCAGTATGCTTTAGCCTAGGATGCTTGACACTTTTTAAGTTAAGCTGATGTTGTTTTTCTTCTGTTTAGTTGTGCAAGTTACATCCTTTACAGAAAAGTCACATGAATTTCACATGTGAAGACATGGGTTTTGCACATTTTGTTAAAATGTGCTTTCACATGTGGAAAAACATGTTCACATAGCACAAAACAATGTAAAAATGTGTTCATGTAAAAAAATATGAATGAATGTTTTTGAATGAAAAAAACGTGATTATTAGTAAACACGGGTGAAACAAATGTGAATTTTCTGTGAGGGATGTCAACTCTGGTTTTAAAGTTATGTGGGCCTTAGTGGGGTATGGGTTTAGCCTTTTGTGAGCAGATGCATTCTTTATAGATAAAGGTATTTCAGTGTTGGTTTTTGCTTTTATGTGAAGTCTGAGTTCTTGTTGATGTCTATACAGTCTAGTCTTGTGTTGTAGCTTTGTTTAGATGATAACTGCACTGCTGTTATAACAGCAACTGTGAAAAACGTATAAAAAAGAAAAAACGTTTTGTGCCCCCCGCCTACAACGAATAGCTCATCCAACAAAGGTGCTGATGTGCCTGGCTGTAATCTGTAAAGCTTTATCCATGCAACAGCTGCAACAAAAAGAAAGTGTGTGTGCGTGGAGACTGCAAAGTTTAACTCTTATATTGCTTTTTGTGGTTATTGAAAAAGACACATGATTGTTATTAATGGGCAGACTTACTACAACCCAAGGTCCAACCAGATGATCAGGATATAATTCGTCAGCACATTGGCAATGTTAGCCGCAGCTGCTGCATACATCTGTGGTAGGATCACACCCTGCAGACCCAAATCAGCAAATGTTAATCTAATCAGAAAAACTAGAAATAAATACAGACTTGATATTTAATTGCGCAGCAGGCAAGATCTGTAGAAAAAAGAGCACACCTGGTTCTGAAGATAAGCTACTTGCAGCTGATGCAGAAACATAGCCTGTGTATAAGAGACACAGCTCAGAACGAGAGGGAGCAGGGAAGTGGAGAGAGAGAGCATAACAAATAGTGCATGAAAAGCTTCTTGCTGAGTCTAGCATGTAACATGCGATCTTCAATTACTTCCCACCAACAGGAAAAATTGTTGTGTAGTCATTTGGAAAAATAGGGAAATATTGCTGGAAGTGACTTACTGGTACAGCAGGCAAGTGAACAAGCACATACAGCTGGGCTATCCTGAAAGAGAGCACACTCATCATTGTGTAGCTGTAAGTGACTCCAGAGAGATAGAACTGCGTAACAAACCACCAGAGATATCCGCTGCAATCTCATTACTACCCCACAGCAAAATCAGCAAGCAGCAAATACTGTCAGTGAACATTCTGCATTGGAATGTAATAACTGTGTCCACATTTCATTAGGCAGGTAAATTGAGAAGAGATGCTTTCTGAAGATTTTATCCAATTCATGTGGGGGAGCTTATCACCTCGAGAAACAATCTGTGAGTTCATAAAAGCTAAGAAGGGAGGAAGCAGAGGTCTGTTCACATGAAATTGGCCAATATGATAGCACAAAATGGGAGGAAGATAGCCGAGATACAATCATATTTTTTGCCTCTTGTATGTTCCTATATATAATAACAAGTGTCTTTAGCTGATCTTTGAGAAGAAGCCATTAGGGCTAGAACTCCTTTCTAGATGGATCGATTGAGCTCTGAGCAGCTGAATGAGTGGAGAAGCTTTTGGTCACCTGGCCACCTCAGGGTCCTGTCCCAGCAGGAGGAGGAGGGGCTGGGTGTTGATAAGCAGAGCCCAGCATGGTAGGCAGAACAGCAGGAGGATTAGAATGCCCCTCTGCAGGATCACCCCCACACGCAGCAGATTCTTACTCCCAAACGTCTGAGCGCAAGACCAGAAGAAAATGCTGATTAACACACACTTTAGGCCAAAATATTTTCACAGAAGTATCATAAAATAGTGTCTCAGACAGTCCAGCTCTACCCAATTAGTGGCTGCTTAGGGCCCTGCAGCCACCAGGGGGCCCCCACCATCTTCTGGGTTATTAATATACTGTTATGTTGTCTAAGATGCTTGAGTAAGGCAGAAAAAAGCAGCTGGTTAAACATGGCTCAAAAATAAACACACGCATCTAAAGCTGAAAAATGGAGAAAGAAAAGAAGAGGAGAAACAGCTTAAAAATAAAGGGATGTATTTTTGTGGGGTTATTGTTATGTCATTTGTTTGGCTTGTAGTTGTACAACAAGAAGTAGTGGATCTGAGGTTTGTCTAATGGAGCAGGTTCAATGTAGACAGACAAGATTCAGCTTCACTAAACCGAACAAACACAGATGCAGTTAACTCGCTTTATGACAGTTAACACATTTCTCTGTTAATCCAGGTTCAGATGTTTAGGCTGTGGTTAATCCTCTTGAACTGTGCACATGAAAGTGGTGTTTATGACGAACAGCTAATCACATGAAACATGAGGACGAGTTGTCAAAGAAGGAAAAGGAAATCATACTACCTACAGTCAGGTCCATAAGTATTTAGACAGTGACACATTTTTTTTATGATTTTGCCTCTGTACACCACCACAATGGATTTTAAATAAAGCAGTCAAGATGTCTTTGAGGTGTAGACTTTCAGCTTTAATTCAAGGGCTTTAACCAAAATATTGCATTAACTGTTTAGGAATTACATCCATTTTTACATAGTCCCTCCATTTTCACATGCTCAAAAGTAACTGGACAAACTAACAATTATAAATACAAGGATTGTTTTGAGTCATTTTCCATCTGTACTGTGAAGCACTGTCCTATCGGTTTTGCAGCATTCACTGACTCACTGATTCACTGAGCAGAAAGTATAGATACATTTCAGAATTCATCCTGTTACTTCTATCAGCCATCACGTCATCAGTAAACACCAGCAACCCAGTTCCACTGGTAGCCATACAGGCCCATACCATAACACTGTAAAAAAGTGGCCTAATCCAAATTATGGATTTGGCCACTCCCAAAATGTCTGCTATTTCTCTGATAGGTTTGTTTTGTTTTTTACTCTTCAATTGATTGGTTTGTTTTTTACACTTCACTTGCATCGACACCTCTTTAGACTTTCTCTTTATTGAGAGTTTCTATCAACAGCTACCAAATGCATATTCAACACTTGGAATCAACTCCAGACATTTTATCTCTTTAATCTGTCATGAAATAACAAAGAAATAGACCAAACCTGACCATGAAACAGCTTATCAGTCAACTGTCCAATTACTTTTGAGCCTGTAAAATGGAGGAACTATGTTAAAAAATGACTGTGATTTTTAAATGGGTAATGCAATATTTTTGTTAAACCCTTTGAATTATAACTGAAAGTCTACACTTCAATCACATCTTGCTTGCTTCATAATTGTAGAAAGTAAAGCATTTATAATGGTAAAAAAGCAATGCCGCCACCACTGCAACCAAGGTTAGATCAAACTAAGCTTAAAGTTAGCTGGGTAAGTAAAAAATATTGCATCATGATACAAACCCATTGAGAATGCTAAGACGGAATGCTGAGAACTGTAACTTAGAACCCCAGACGAGCATCCAATTATCAGCGATAAATACATTAATAATATGTTTTGCTGATAATAACATGGAATTTGTGACTGGCCAAACCATACAGGATGAAGAATCGGTGTAATTTCTCCAAATTACATCAAATAGCCCAGATGAAAGCGTCATCACATTGATGTTTACATCACCATTATTCAACAGGCGCCACACTTCTGAACAATAACAACAAGTTGTACGGCTAAATGGCATCTAGGCTAACATTAGGCTAGTAAAGTGGGTTCATACAACTTAAAATAGTAATGAGCAACACTTTGTTTCCAACCACATATTTTGTTGATTATTTTGAAATACAGCGGTTATGTGAAAAATAAGGTGGACACTATTTTATATATGTATGATATATGTTGCAGAAATGTAGTGATGCTGAAGTGATTTTCACACCTGAGAGACCAAAGTGTCACAAGCCAGTGCAAGTCCTGTACCCGTGGCAGCTGTTGTAATGCTGATGGTCTGGGAAAAAAAGTAATATAAAAGCTGTTTCTTTTCTTTTGAGATGGGAATAGACTTTATTAACTACGTGCTTTATAAAAACATATAACTCAAACACGTATGACTAGTCTAGAAAGTTCATTTTCTATTTTAACTGTCAAAGAAAAGTAAACATATGAAGGCATAAACTCACAGCTGAGGCTATTCCATAACCAGCCAGCTCACTGTTTCCTAGGCGACCACAAAACATTGTTATGACAAATGGAAGCAGATAATTCAGGATGCGAGATGCAACCTAGAATGGCAAAGCAGAAAAATAACACAGGATGAATAGCACAAGAGGCCGCGGAACCATTCGGAACAGTGATTTGTACAAAGTTAGAATAGCACAAGGATTATTTATATCCCTGGTGTTTTCTCTCATATGAGACAAATATATCTGAGACTTATACATGTGAATAAACAGTCACACTGGAGAAATGGAGAATGCTAACGCTGCTGTGTGCAGATGAGAGAGAGAGAGAGAGAGAGAGAAAGAGAGAGAGAGAGAGAGAGAGAGAGAGAGAGAGAGAGAGAGGAGAATTAGAGAAAGAGAAAAAGACAAATAGAGAAAGCAATAGAGAGAGAGAAATACAGAGAGAGTGAGAGAAAACGTAAGAAACAGAAAAGGAGCAATAGATAGAGAAAGTTAGAGAGATAAAAAGAGAACAACAAAGAGAGAGAACGAGCGAGTGAGAGAAAGAGTAAGAAACAGACAAAAGGAGCAATAGAGAGAGGAAGTTAGAGAGACAAAGAGAAAGGAATAGAGAGAGAAAGACAGAGAGAATGAGAGAAAAGTGAGAGAAAAGGAGCAATAGAGAGAGACAGAGTGAGAGAAAGAGACAAAAAGAGAAACAGAGAGCAACAGAGATAGCGAGAGAACAAAGCATGCTGATTTCTCACCAGGGGTCCAGTCATACACAGGATGTGGTAGAGCTCCTCTCTGTAAGTCAGAGGGAGGAAGCGCTTCAACCAGCCGCAGCAGAACAGCCTGGAACTGGGTTCCATGGAAGGAGCTTCGGCCCCGGCGCTGGATCCATCCATCATCTCCTCCGTCCTCTCCCTCACTAAAGACACGGTCACTGCAGGAGACGGCCGCTCTGCTGCAGCTGTGCAGTCACAGGTCACTGTGGCAAAGTTTGACCTCTTAACAGTTTACCAATTAGATCCCTGTAGCCTCTGCTGTAGACTCAGAAAGACGCACTCAGTGATTTTCTGGCTTATGAGACCCAGTTAGCTGCATTACTGCACAAATTAAATACAGCATTTAAATTACACCACCTGGTTGGATCTAACAGATATTTAATGCTCATAACCTGGAAATTACACTGTTACATAGATCTAATTCTACTCAGCAAATACGGCCCTATACACGATGATTTTGTATATATTTATTGCTATCTCTATTATTGCATTTAGGTTTGAATAGATCATAACATAATCCTTGTAATCATTCAAGATCTAAATACTTAAATGTTTAAGTACAAACTGTGGCGCTGCAGTTTAATCTAATTCAGTAAAATTGACCAAATGCTAGTATTCAGCAGCTGATTTCTTGTTCAGCACCTAAAGGCTGTTTTTAAGAAATTCAAATTGATGAAGAATGTTTGTCTCCAGTAAACATATTACATGCCATCATACTGGCAATTATTATTAATTATCATCACATCCCTTATTGCCTGGTATCTCATTTGCTTTCAGAAGTCTAAAAAGCTCCTATAACGTCTACAATGAATCAAGGAGCTGCTAACCTCTCTTAAAACTCGAAAAGGTTAGGTATGCAGTACAAGGGTACCATTAAAGCATTTCTTTTAACTAGCTCCACTTTTGTGGATCATGCATAGTATATAACACCAAACTGATCTGTAAACCTGTAATAACATGACCAAATGAGTAGAGAAACATAACAAGATTCCAGATCATTCCAGACAGCTGTACTGTATATACAGTAGTATTTTATGAACAGTGACTAAAGTGACATCTGCATTTAGATCTATGAGAAGACATCAAATAGGTGTCCGTGCACAAGTACATAGTCATCCTTTACCATGTTCTCCACAAGGGGGTGAGTGCATGTGTGGCATACACCAAGAGAAACGTACAGGCCTGAATGCTTGATCCCTGCTATGAGATGGTCCAGTGGCTCTGTGACACTATTTTGCTGGCATGGTTTTGGTTCATTGGTCACGTTGGAAGCAATGGTCATTGCGAGTAAAATGAGTAAAAAGATATTCGAACTGATCACTTTATCCTACTATACATATCTATCCTGGTGGGAGTGGTCTCTTTCAGGGGTCACTGTTTCATGACTATGAAAATCATATGCTATGGCCTTCATAGTCACCACATCTCAACCAAGCTGAACACCTATGGGAGACTTTGCACCAACGTGTTAGACAGGGCTCTATACCACCATCATCAAATATCTTTTGGAATAATGCTGTACCATCTCTCCAGTACAGTCCTAGAGACTTAGAATCTCTAACAAGATGGATTTAAGCTGTTCTGGTGGTTTGTGGTGTCCTAGCACCTTACTAAGACAGTTCATGTTGAGTTTTTCCTTTAATTTGACACTTATCTGTATGTTTCTGTTTTCCATTTTAAGTGTTTTGTAGTATATACCTTGTACATGGGTGGGGAGCAGGGGGGGCGAATGTACATAGTGCTATTATATGTCCAGTTCCACTGTGACAGAAATGCTCATATCACTTGTGTTTTTCAACGCAGTGGAAAGAGGCTGCACTTTCCTCAAGAGAGGGCAGTAGAGTGATGGTTATACCAAGAACATTGCATGCATTACAGAGGACTATCCATATGCAACTTGAAAATGAAATACAAGTTTTCCTCTCCCATGATGTTTTTGTTTATTCTCCTGATGTAGCTGTTATAAGCCATTTTCAATAGCAACTCATTCTGGTAAATTAAGATTCTCTGTGTAGATCTATGTTGTAGGCCTTCTAAAAATGTATCTGAAGCTTGTACTCTGAAGATGAAGCTTTTTAGGTAATCATCTATAGAAAGTCATCACATTTACTCTTACAACCGACCTTGGGGGACTGAACCATTGTTTATCATGTACTGCTCACCTAATGCAATAAACCTTTGTATCCGACACTGGGAAATGCCATAAAAGTGGAGGAAATCAGATAGAACCAGAGAGTTCCACTAGCAGTTTGGCATAGTCTTGGGTTCATTCACAAAGAGCCAGCCTCCGCGTTTAAAATCAGAAGGTTTGTAGAAGCTTTTTTTCTTCCATTAACTAAGATAATTGCTTGTGAGGCCATTTTCATGACTGTAGTTTAATGAAACTGAATTTTCAACATGAGGATCAAAGTCAATATGTGGTCTTGTAAATTAAAAAGCAACTGTTTGTTGAAGATTAAGAGTCTCCATGGAAACTGCCGGATAACTATGGTTCACTGATACTTTAAAAAAAAGATGTATTTACATTGTAAATCATCTGTTGACATAATGCATTGGTTTACATATGAATCTCCTTAAGGCTCTTACATGCTGTGCATAATGAAAAAATGAAGGCGGATGATAAGAGACCATTTGTATTTGGTGAAGTGTGCTGTTTTTGTTATCTCAACGAGGCCTTCAAGGCTTTTTCGGTGACAGAGCTTTTCAATATTCCCTGCACAGAGGCATCCACAATTCCCCAATCAACTTGAGCAGATTGCTCTGGAGAAGAACAAAGGATAACACAAAATGACAGAGTGTAACCTCATTGCAGCTCCAAAGAGTCCAACCTTTCTGCTGGTTTTGTTGTGACTCGCTCACATTTTTTTACGTTTACAGTTAGCCGATCTGCCCTTAATCAATACCACGCTCTGTCCTCAGCTGCAGCTGCGCCAGCTGCCGCTGTGTGTGATGCTTTCTTGCAGAGTCTGTTGACTCTCTCATTCAGATGTTATACACTGCTCCGTATATGTAGTTTTATATTCTGTTAAATACTGCTGTATGTATTTAGTTTTCAGATGTTGGTAATGACAGCATCCCAGATGAAGAGAGCCCTTCACCCACTCCTTCTGTGCTGTCTGTGCCAGCTGGCGGCAGGTAAGAAAACAATAGCGCTGTCTTAACACTAACCCACAGCATCTGAATTAAGTAGATGTTTTTCCAATTTAGACTTTACAAGCAATCTCTATGTTCCTCTCATTTTACCACAGCACAATGAGGTGTATTTTGTATGGTCATTTAAACTGCATCAGTAATAAATAGTGCATGGCTTGATTATAAGAAAAGACATGAATTCACAACAACAATCTGAGACTTTAAAAGAAATGAAAGGATCAAGGACCTGGAGCAGGTTTCAGGATTGCATTTCTATTACAAAATCTATTGCTTCTGGATAAATAATCACTTTTCAGTCAAGCATGATGCAATGTAGAATATAATTAACATTGAGGCCAGTTTCCTGGACACAGATTCAGTCTAGTCTTGGATTAAATTGCATTACTATAGGGGATTCATCATTGAAAATCCAATTCAGTTTAGATTTAGACTGAATGGTCTGGGAAACTGGTTGTAGGTGTAGTGACTCCGATACAAGTGAGTTACCACATAAAATGTTTAATGAAATATCAAGGAGTAGCACTCACTACTAAATTAATATTATAATAAAATAATTAACATGAAGTCATGTTAATGACTTAACATGCAGAATTAAAACTGCCTAGTACAGAATATGCAAATATTATATTATGCTATAAAAGTAGCATTAATTCTTATTTAACACTATAGTATATGCATAGTATATAGTATATAGTATATACTATATACTATATATGGTATATAAGATTGGCCTCGCCTTGTCAAATTTCATGCTTTAGTGATTTTCTAAGTAAACATGAGTAAACATTCTCTAAAGAGAACAGACTCCTTCGTGTTTTAATACATATATAATGTTGTATTTGCTCAGTTTAACATATTTGAAAGAGAAACAAAACACAAAACTGGGGCCTTGTGTTACATGTTACATTTACTAAAATTTATAAAAATTAATAAAAGTTGTGCACTAACATTTGTAGAAAAACGGCATATTTCAGTGTGTTTTCAGTAGTGGATGTGTTAACTTATTTTTACTTAGCAAATCATCTATATATATATATATATATATATATATATATATATTTTTTTTTTTCAATTTATTTAAATTTTAGAATCCAGTCCAGTGTAACTTCATAATTTTCATTAAATTTAGTAGGAAGCCATAATAAAAATAAAGAAATGATGAGCTGAGAATGTAAAAATACTGCATAGCATTGAGAGTGAAGTGGTGATCAAATCTTGAGGTATGAAGAACTTGACAAACAAATGTACAAAGAGAATTACAGAATATAATGTACAGGTCACAACTCAATATTTTTAAAATAAATAATAATGTCCTAAATTAAGTCGATAAAATATTAAAAAATACATTTTGGTGTATAGTTTATACGATTTAAAAGTACAGTTTAAGAAAGATGGTTCTTCAAAAAGATGGTTCTTCAAGCTTGACATCATACCAATCATACCAATACCAAAAGAACCCTTTTTGATGCTATTTAGAACACTTTTCAAAAAGGTTCTATAGAGACCTATGTACAAAACACTCTCATTCAACATGAAGAACCATTTCACAATGCAAAGAGCCCTTTAAGCATGCAGATGGTTCTTTGAGTGTTCATGGTTCTATAAAGAATTATTGTCTTTGCTAAAGAACCCTTGACGAACCATCTTTTACAATTAAATTATTATTGTATATACAATAACACAAATTCGTATTGTAACGAGTGATTCCAAAGTGATTTTTTTTATTATTATTATTTTTTTTATTTAATGCCATTTAATTTTCTTGGACCAAAAGTCATTGTACAAAATGTAAAATGATGAAACAGAAATGTCAAAGAGTATTTTTTAATAATTGATATAACAGAAAGCTATAGGCATATAGATGTAGGCAAACGGGCATATGAAAGCAGACCAGTGATAAATTCCGTTATATATGGGAGCACATGTACTGTTGATTTTCTTAGTAAAAAAACTTCTTATACGACATATTACATATTTCCGATATGTTAAACTCAGAAAATAAATAGAAATTGTTCACTAGAAATGTATATTAATATATAAACATATATATTTATAAATATTTAGAAAGTCAAAAAAACATTTTATCAGGTGTGCTTTATCAGGGGATGATTGTATATGTTTACATAAAGACAAACTTGTACTTTTCATTAGGTAACACAGATTATCCAAAACACTACAGAGAAAGCACTGTGTAATCTGTGTCTTAGTGTATGTGCACTTTACCATCTCTCAGGTGTGAAGGTGCTGGTGAGCCCACAGGAGGAGGCCATTGCCCAGCTGGGAGACACAGTCAGTCTGAGCTGCTGGGTGGAGGGTTCGGACTATGAGGAGGAGCTCCAGTGGAGTCGAAACAGAGGTCTGATTAACTTGCTGGAGGGAAACCGCCTTAACCAGAGCCATCTGTGCGTGCAGAACCTGACCCACAAAGACCATCGGGTCCAATTTACTTGCAACCTGAAGAAAAACACTAGCATATCTGCCTCTGTGAAGATAAATGTGCTCTGTGAGTGAGGACTGAAAAGCATCACACCTAAATGTCTATTACTTTAAATACAACGTAAACACATTAAAACCAAAGCTTCTTATTCCGTTATTAATATTAAGACCTTTTCATTTAGTGACTAGTATAAATTATTCTCTAACTATAAGAGGTATAGAAATCCACCAGTGCATTGACGTATGATGGATTGATCTGAAGGTGCTGATTTAACTTCATTAGTACTGGACAAATTGATTGGACAAAAAATTATGTTATTACTTTAGGACAAAATAAAACTCTTAGGATATTTTTAAATGTAAGAATGTTTTCCCAGTACTGTTAACCCTCCAGTTATAATCATGTTTTCAGTGTCTTTTTTAAGAATAATTCTAAATTGTACCTAATGCAGTGAAATTTTAAAATTCAATCATAATCTAATTGTTGTGACATCAAAGGTTTACATCTCTAGTATCTACTATGAAACTACTGTGTAAGTTTAAGGTCTTTTACCCTGGCAAGCACTAATGCGATGAGTGGTTTGTCACAAAACAACTACAACTACTACTTAATGTCTTTCTTCAGTCCCGCCTGATCTCTCTGGAGAGGAGAATGTAACAGTGGAAGAGAGCAGAGAAGCTAAGCTGTCGTGCTCAGTGTGGGCCAACCCCCCGGTTAAGGTCTCCTGGCTGCGCGATGGTGCTGCTGTGGACCTGCTGAAGGAGGGCTACAAACTCAACCAGGATAGCTTTGAGGCCAGGCTCATCATTATAAAGCCTCACCGAGACCAGCACCAAGGGACATACACCTGCGTCACAGAGTCCTCCGAGTTCGGACAGAGGACCAAATCAATCCATGTCACGGTGACAGGTATGGTCAAAGGGTAAAACTTTGTATTTCAAATAACGTCCAGTTAAACCCTTTTTAAGGGCCTCTACCTGTGCCCACACTATAGTTTTTAGTCTTAATACTACATTAATTTCCTATTAGATACTGAGTAATTTACAGTAGTTACTGAAAAGTAAGTCTTACGATTAATTACTGAATAATAAGCCTACACTCTAAAAAAAAAAAAAATATTTTGAGAATAAAGACTCAAATCCAAAAGGGTAAACCTCTGTGTTTGTGTTTAAAGCTGTTTAGTTTAAGCTGTGAGGAAGAGCAGAAACAACGCTGTAACTTTAATGATCATAAAGATTCTGTCTTTCTGTCACTCCTGCACCAGTCACTCCATTTCACTCAGTCTGGTTTGAGTTTTTATTATCTAAAGTTTCCTCGTCAGTGAGAGGGAATTGCTCATGGTTTAGCCTTCTTGCTAAGCTAATATTAGCCTCTGGTGCTAATGAGAATATGAATTAAAAGTAGCTTTAGCTAACAGCTCCATGCACAAAAACATAAATTTACCCGCTCTCTGATCTTGCATCAATGAAGCTTTAACAGTCTCAATGAACCTACATGGTTATACGTAAAGCTACTCAGGCCTTCTTTGCTAATCTAACACTAGCTTCTAGTGCTAATTAGGACATTAAAGCAAAAGTAGCTTAAACTAAACAGCTCCAAACAGAAATACATAAGCTAGATTTACCCTTTCGGATTTGAGTCTTTATCCCCAAAAATTGCATCAGCGAAGCTTCAGTGAGCTGGAATTGACCTGTGCTGTCGAGTGTGGAGCTTTAGCATGCTGCCTGCTACTAGAACAGCTCTATACAATCTTTGGTAGTTTATTAGTAAGTTGTATAATTTGACACAGTTGCAATTTTAAACATTAATGTCATTTATTTACTTTAGTTAACAGCTTAGTACACAGTCCAAGCATTTCAGACAAGCAAGCTATGTTCAAGCAGACTGTAAGCAAGTGTCCTGTCGCAGTCCTCTGCTTAACATAGAGTATATAACCATGATAGGTAGCACATTCCTGACATACAAGCTGTATGTAGCACCGCACAAATTGCTTTTCAAATGTCCTGAGAAAGCTGTGTTTTTAAAGGACAAATGTAGTAACACATTTCACCCAAATGTCAGTCATAAGAAACCATTCAAGAGGAGTTCACTATGTAAAAAACACATTTTGTGTGCAGGGGGTCTTCACTGCCTTAAGTTTTTATTTTATTCTAAGATTTGGAACAGAAGACAGATTATTGTTCTGTTACAACTTAAAGTTCACTGACCTCAAAGTTGGCAGCCAGGTTATTTTTCTAAGTTAAAACAACAAACCTTTTTTACAGTGTATGTGAGGTGGTAATGAGGTAATGATAAGGTTCCAGGTGTTAAAGTGAATTAAAGAGATGGTTCACAGTCAGGTCCACCACATGCTGCAAATCTGTCCTCAGAATCACTTCCCAAAGTAAATACAGTGAAGGAATCTAAAGCGTGCCACTCATCTGTCTCCCTCTGTCCTATCTAATTTAGAGAAGACAATGTCTTTCCCTCTGGGTGCTGTGATTGCTGGCTGTGTTGTTGTCCTGTGCACTGCTGCCCTTGCAGTTGTGTCCAGATGGAGCCAAATTTCAAAGGTGAACACTATTTACAGTGATACAGTTAAAGCTACACAGAGGTTACGTGGTCAGTAGTCTGAATTCTCATTTTGCTTGTTTTTTTTTTTGTTATCTTTCACAGTGTTGGAAGTAAAGACTCTGAGGCCGCATCAATCTCACACAAACCTGAGAGAAGATAACTGCTTAAACAAAACAACTGACTAATGCTGAATATGATATTTAAATTACATTTCTTTTTAAATATACAGCGAATCATGATTTTGGTACAATATGACAGCAAGAGCTGAAAGTGTTGCAGATGGGGTAAAAGGTCCAAAGTTCCATCTCACAGAAAAATATGAATCATTCATCCTCAATTTTCACAATCTAAAAAGAATAAGTAACATATTATCATCATCTATTACTTTGCAGAGGGAATAAAGCCATTACACTAAGTTAAATATTGATGCTTCAGGTCAAAGGCACACTCCATCACTAGCAAGAAGGGTCACTGAAGAGAACAACCTGTCAGCCAGATATATATTAAATACAGAATTATAGAATGAGGTAAAGGAATCATGTGTTTTGAATGATTTCGAATGAATGGCTTAACTACAAGCCTTTGGATGAATGGAACTGCTGTTGCTGTACTCTAAGTTAATGTCTATTTCAAATAAATAGCTCATTTTATTCACAATAAGCTTCCTTTGGTGAATGTGAAGGCTGGAAAACCTTTCATGCAAGGTTTCTCTTTGCTAAATTATTTCAGTAAGTACGCTAACTTCAAAGAGGTAGGAAGGATTGCTAAAATAACTAACAGTGTAATGATAGGAGCAGAGCAGAACTTTCCCACTGTAAACAGTCAGTGGGAATTTAATCCCCATGAGCCTGCTGGGTCAACCCTGCAGCTGATGAATGTGTGTAGTGAGGGGGGGGTATGTATTTGGACAGAACAGTTCTTATATAAGAGGCTCTGTATGTGTGTGTGGCAGAGAGAGGGAGAAAGAAAGCGAGAGAGAGACTGCAGTCTGGACTCCCCTCTCCAGAGCCTCACTGCTTATCTTGCATCTTCTTTCAAATTCTCCACAGAGAGAATAGAAATGAACAAGTGTTCTATTTCTATGACTGAGAGTCACCCTTAACTGCTATCAGCCTGTAGCTGACATTCTACAGTTGAAGTGAACTGTAATAAACCAAACTCGGAAAACATTTAGCATATAGTGTTCTTCCGAAAGCCTTACGCCAAGCCCTTAAGGGCAGTGACCTCACATTAGTGTTGGCACGAACTTTAAGAACCATTAACTGTGGAATTACATTTTTATGCTTCCAAGCATTTGATTGCCTCCCATAAAAGAGCTGAAAATGAGAATGACTAAATTATGGAGACTTAAAAGGAGCAATTTCCACTGCTTTACCATAGGTGAGGTGTTATTTTAAATGGGCAGGAGGCATCCACTCATGCAGTGTAAGGTCATAGTCAGGGCTATATTAATGTACCTCTGGCTGGGAGGGGCCTGGAGAAAAAACAACAGGAATTAAACTGTACATTAGCTTTCTCTGAACGTTGGGCCTCATTCACCAATATCTTCCAAAGTTTTTTGTTAAACCACAGAATTGTTCGCACTTTTGTGCTCTTGAGTGTGTGTAGATTCTGCTCTTACCTAGGAACAAATGTCAAGTATGAAAACATTGGTGAATGTCAGAATCTTGGTAAAACCTGCATTAAGTGGGTTTTAAGCAGAAACTTCACCAACAGTTCTTAAGACAAATGAGGCCCAACGTTCAGCGTTCTAACATGTTTTTGTTTAGCAGCAGAGCTAGCTAAAGCAGTGCTAAATGCTAAATATCTAAAATGTCCAGCCTAAACTGAGCTAATATTTAACAAAGAATGTTTGTTAGCAGTCACTAGCTAGCGAAGATTGTTAAAATCAATGCGAATTGGAAATCATAGTGTATTCATCTTATGCACTGTGATGTATTTCAGAGAGAAACATGGTATCAAAGAGGGTCTCTAAGCTAGCTGAGCATTTTGCTCTATGACAGCGATGATCGAGGGAGGTGAAAAATGATTATTTCCCTTGCCTAGTTGTACACAGTCATGTAATTAAAACTTTAAGAGGCTGGCAACTATCACTATAAGTCAATTAAATATTATAGGAGAAACAATAATTTTGTCATCAGATCGTATGGTATGATAAATGATGCTTGACCAATGACGTGGGCTAACAAGGTCGATTTTGACTGACTATAACCAAGTGAGCTAACAATAGCAACCTATTCAGTGTGAACAATTATAACATAGCAACAAGCATATCTTTATGCTTTGAGTAGAAGTGGAATTTCTCCTACTCCAAGATTTATAAGACCTTGATTAATTTTAATACAGCCCTATTCATAGTCATGACCTTCATGTTTAAATCATTATGATTTAAACAAATTCATTCAGAGTGGTTTGATGTAAAAGGCTTAAGAGAAACTGACTGAGTCAGAGTGGTTCACAGCAGTGGAGAAAAGCATTACATAGTTACAAATAGTTTGCCTGATGCTGTAGACATTGTTTATGATAGTTTTAAGATAAGCTTTTGGCATAAAACCTATGTTTTAAGACAAAAATGTCCCCACAAGAACTTTTTTGTTTGGATTTACAGCTATTTTACCATAATCAACATTACATTTCAAAAACTCAGACACATGTAGGTTTCATGGTGGTTTTGGATAGTAAATAACACGGCTATATTTGTGTGGTAAACATTGTGACTGCCAGTTCCTGTCACCACTACTTTAAAGAAATCAGAGTCAGTAAGTTTCTCTGCAATGCACCATTTCACATCTAAACACTCTTTGTTTATATCTCATCACATAAATTACATAAGCATTTAGAAAAATTGGTGGAATTCCCCTTTAAGATAAACAATAAACAATTCATAATTAATTAATAAACAATAAGGAATATTACTGTATACAGAAGAAAGGTGTTGTAAATTGCACAGTTCTGAAATGTATCATTCTCTCTTTGAACAGGAGATTGCTAGTTAGAATTGCCACTTTATATACCACATATTATTATTTGGAATAAAGTAATGTTTATCACCACCTTAACCTGTTGTGAATGTACAGTGTGAAACAATAAATAGAAGTCAGTATTAACTAAGGGCTAAAAAATGGCATCCTCTATTAAGGCATCATTTACACATGCAGTAATCTACAGCACAGTGCAAATCGCTCACCAGATTTGCATACATATTAAAGCAAAGTCCATCTAAAGCCATGTGACTGTGGACCTGGCAGAGTAATTAGAATAAAATTAGAATAAAATGGAGCCCCTGCACCTGATTGCTTAAGTGAAGGTGGATGAGAATAGACAATGAAGAGCTCGCCTCAGAGCGAGGCCAGAGGAAGGGCCACGGCCTTCCACATCTTGACGGCAGAGGCTTCCTGGGAGCTGCACTGGAATTAACCTTGACATGAGCTTTCTACAGTATTTCTCTACAGAGACTTCACTTAACGGTTTACAGAAGCAATGGAGCAGAAATGTATTTGTATTTCTTGGTACTTATGAATGTCTGAAGAGCTACAATAGATCACATGGACATTCCTTCATATCATTTAGAGCTGTCAATAGCATGTATCTTCTTCAAACATCGAAATGACTCAACTGTTTTAAGTTAACTCTTCCTCAAAAAGATAAGGTACCAGAGTTCAGAGCCAAAAGAACATTTATTGGCTGCAGCTAGTACAGTTGTGTTATACCATCATTTAATTATCCTGTCATAAATTATAATAATATATCTCCATCTTAACGAATACCTTGAGGAAAATACAAATATATTCTCTTATAGCACATAATTGGAATATCTATACCTTTGTAAGACGAATAAATGTACGACTGTACACACAATGTTTATAAGGCTGCAAATACATTCATATACTGTGTATACTGACAATATTTCATCAGTAACAATGATCACAATTTGATTCAGAACATCACACACAAAAGATCATATAAATACAGTATGTCTTTAAATTCCCGTAGTCTCATAGGCTCAAGTCGCAGACTTAGTTTAAGACCTTACTAAGTTTAAGACCTTATTTGTCAAGATGTAACAACTGCTCTTCATTTCAAATATGTACAACGAATACAAAAATGTCCAAATCAACACATTCACACTACACAGCCTATACAAAGGGCACTCTACATCTAAATGTACAAGAAAGTGTAACATACTTTGGTTAGGCAAATTTACAGTAATAAACATGTTGCAGTTCTCAGTTCCTTAATGAAAAAGTCAGTTTTCATTACTACAAAAAGCAACATTACAGGTAGAACACGCCGAGACAATCAACATCTCTCAAAATGGCTAATAATGATCTCCATTTATATACTGTTTATATATATGTACAAGGATCATTTATTTGTAAACAATATCAATATCGGATTAAGTAATTATGCCAGTATTGTTTGAATATTGTGGCAGTACAGTAACAATCTTGTGAACAACTACAGTCACCACTGCAATACAGATACAAAGTCATCATTTGACCTATGGTAAACATTGGTGTATTTAGCTATTGCCACAAGCAACTACACCCATAGTAACATACTCTGTTTTGTTTTAGCGCCACACAAATGGGAGAAGGTCAGGCACAAACAAATTCACTGATGGTTAAAATCCCATCCAGCAGCTCCCATAGCTGCTAATATGAGAGGGACTGTATAAGAGAGATGGGACGAGAATTGTGACCCAGTGGAGAGGGCAGGGGGGAGTTTAGCAGTCGCCCGTGTGGTCAGATGCCCAGGGGTCTGGGTCAAAGTGAAGAGCCAGCATATGCCAGGCTAGCCCCATTGCTGCAGATGACCTGTGGACAGCTGCCCAGGTAGCAGGGTAGTGCCTGCAGTATTTACATAGAAGTATTATTGCAGGAGCCAGCACCAAGACCTGTCCAAGCAGCAGGTTATGAGCTTTCTTCTTCAATATCTTAACGTTTGGGCTGGAATCTAATCGGATGTCCTCTCGCCTTTAGAACTTTAGAGCACGGCCCTTCTGTGTTCAGCTCCTCTGAAGAAAAGGCCATGTGGATCACTAGGTAAATCCACACAAAGCTGAGAAAGGAAACAGCCACATCACTGCAACACTGCATCAGAGCCTCCCAGGACATAAAAGTCAACTCAGAAATGTCGCAGCCACAATTGGATTCTGAAACTTCATTACGAGACTACAGAAACCCCCTCTGTTCCTGTGACTCCAGCAGGACAGCTCCGGCATCAGGCATCAGGGGCTTTACATATGATGTTGTGTCAAATCCAACAGAGTCGAGGCAAGCTCTTTACAGTGGAGTGCAGCAGAGGCGAGATTCGTCCTAGCATGTGGTGCAACGTCAGCCTAGGGTTGAGAGGAGGTGAAGGAGCTGCAAGGGACAAAAAAAGTTGAAGGACAAGTTTACACTGCATTAATGCTCAAATGAACACCCGTCTGCTTTTGTTCAGAAGATCATCAGAATTTCTATTTATAGAGGAACACAATCGACGAACCAATCCAGCTCATATAGCAAACATAATTTGCCATTAAGTAACTGCTGGATTTGGAGCATGCCTGAGCATTCCCTCTTCAGATCATCAGAGCCAGCAGAGCAGCTCCCGATAGGACATTTGCATTAGGATTTCAGCGGCGGTGAGAGAAATGAGAGAGTAGGAGGCGCAGTGAGCTCAGACAATAAAAGAGCAGCTCCTAATAATAGCTCTACCTTGGGTTTGGTTGTGAATATAAATAAGGCTGTGCTGGAGGGAGGGAAGCCCAGCTCAGTGAAGGAAATCAGAAGGATGTTGACTCTTTCCATATACTCTCTAATGATGTATTGCTGGACAAAACACAGCCCAGTGTAACAGGGCAATGCAATGCAATGCAGCTGCTGTTCACAATGTAAATTTTAAATGATGAAAGATTCACAGCTTCAAAGACTCTAGTATATTCATACAACACTGTGGTAATGCGGCACTGTATCTAAAATTACTGGGAATGTGATGACTAAACTGAAAACAAGACGCAGATATTTGATTACAGCTGACAAAAGATTCCAGTGTGGATTAAGATGTTAAAATTATATGTGAATTTTGAGCAGTGAAAGTGAGGTCTGTTCAAATCTTGCTATGGTTAAGACAACACACTATCATATTTATATTTACAGCACTTGGCAGACATTCTTATCCAGAATGCAACTAGGCGAAGGTAGTGTAAGGAGTCTTACCTAAGGACTGGAAATCAAACCTACAGCATAGGCTGAACAGCTCTGCAGACAGCTAACAGGCTAACAGACTGCTCCAATATTATTCAGTTCAGCTTTACTAAAGATTTACGTTACGTTACTAAATAAAGAATATGCCACCTCAATGTCTGTTTATTTGAGTAGAGCTGGCCTAAGTAGCATTGAACTCTGTATGTGAAGTGAAAGTACACCACTGCCAGCATAACATCACAATCAGGATACTCATAAAGTGAAGATTTCTGCATTAAATACAGCAATATAATAATCTGCATGGCCATGACAAGTTCTTGAAAGATTTCTCAATATGGCAATAAAAAATGATAGACCATGATAGACCTATTTCACTGTAAACTTGCTGTGGGAATGTGTAGAGCAGTTAATTAACGCAGTTTGTTGTCAAAGCTTTGAAGATTTGTTTCTTAGCATGTTAGCATTCCGTGTGCTAATCTTGGCTTAGCTTTCCCTGCACTAGCTTTGTGGCCTACAGCTGTGCCCTGAAAATAAAAATAAGATGCAAAACTGCAAAAGCAATCATATCACATTTGACAAGCCGTACAGCATCTTATACTGTCTTCACGTGAACAGAAGGGATTGATCTTTTCAAACTCAGCCAAAACATTTGCTAAAAATCAGGGCTTAGCATATGTACAACTAAGCAATAATATTTGACCTCCAGTGTATTTTCACTGTTAGACATGACACAGCTTCCAGTACAGCAGAGAAGAGTCATACCTGGACCTTGCCCACCGTAAAACCCTTCTTCCTCTCCTCTCGTCCCTCTCTCCTGCTTTTTTCTGTGGTCAGGGAGTGGTGTCACCACGATGCATGGCCCCCCGTGCCCACATGCTGTGTCCACCTCCCCCTCCTCCACCCCCATGGTCCTTGTCTGACTCAGGCTGGCTTTGGGCCCGCTCCGGTTTGGGGTTGGGGGTCATGGGCGGTTCAGGCTGCTGTACAGACATTGTGCGGCGCAGATGTGTGCGCTTACACAGGAAATCTGGCTTCGCTGACAGGCCAAATGAGCCTTTCCTAAGCACCATGCGCACAGAGGAGCTCTTCTTAGGCCGGGCCCGGTGGCCAAACTGCAGAGAGGACAGGTGCACCGCATAGCCCTCACTCAAGAACTGCATGAGAATGAGTATGCAGAGGAAAAGAGAAGGAAAATAGAGCAGAATATATTAGATATGATTAAGATAGAACAAAAAAAGTTTTCATAGAAAGTAGGATGTATTCAGAAGTCAGACAACAAGGGGTACTGCCCCAGTGACAGTTTCATACCTTTATTTCTGAGAGTGTACCAATATGTTTGATTACTTCACAAAAAGCAGGAACAAAATTTCCAGTGTGAAAACATTATTTCAAAATATTCTTAACGATTTTAATAATTTAATTCTAGTTTATTAAATAAATGCAAGAGCGACTGATTTGATGTTAGAGTTATTGTAAAATCTAATATATACATGGTATGCTGTATCAGAACAACAATATTCACTGTTCAGATTTCTTTCTACATTGGATCTTATTCTTTAACTAACAGGAGAAAGGAGTGTAACGTTGGAGCAGAACTGAAAAAACTAAAAACTCAACAAAATGAGGGCTCCTGAGTGGCGCAACCGTCTAAGCGTTGGCCCTATCATCAGGAGATCGCGAGTTCAATCCCTGGTGATGCTGCAGCCATCCGTGGCACGATTGGCCTTGCTCTCTCTGGGTGGGTAGGATGGCCCCTCCCTCTCCCCCATCACCCAACGCGATGCTAGTCACACGATACTATCAATGCTAGGAAGGCGAAGGCTAGCACAGGCTTCCTCCGAGACCTGTGAAACCAGCCACCGCATCTTTTCGAACTGCCGCTCACGCAACGTCATTGGACAGCTGAACTTCCAAAGGCCCAATCAGCACAAGTCATTTCATTTTACAGAAAAATGGAAAGAAACATATATTTAACAGAAAATTACACACATTTGTCAGCAATTAAATATAATTTTTATTTTTTCAGTATTCAGTGTGTCCAACCCATTATCTTTATTACAACTACTATTCTTTTCTGGAGACATTCTTTTAGTTTTTCATAAAGAAATCTGAAGGGATGTTTTTCCACACCTCAAAAGTTCAGACTAGTTCAGAAGCTGGTTATATTTTTTGCTTCTCACCAAGTAATGCTAAACACATTCAGTGATGCTGAGGTCTGAACTCTGGGATGACCAGTCCATTGTTCTGAGAACACCAGCAGCTTTTGTTTGGTTTGCTAAGATCTGCTAAATTTCTTTTTTGTCTGTTTCCTTTTCTCAGTATCAACTTCTTGACAGCTGCACATCCTTTCAGACCCATAGCATTGAATTGTCTTCTCACAGTGAAACAACAGGCAGATACAACTGTGGATTTTTTTCAGATCTGAAGCAAGAGTGAAGCAAAGATTGAAGCTAGCCCAAGATTAAAGTTTTAAGTACTGTTTATTTGCTAGTTTTTGTGGTCTACCAGGTCTTGTGTCTTGCATTGTGGTTGCATTTACTCTTTATCTTTTATAATTTAGCTGTTTTTTCACTTATTTTTCTTTGACTTTCCCCTCTCTTGTGCAAGTGGACTATCTAATATCTAATCTCCTCAAAAATATTTCCTGAAAAATGAGTAACTGCAAATTAAATAAAGAAAACTTTTGTTCAATACTGAATAAAAATCAACCAAAGTAAAATAGAGAAAGGTTTAAACAGCAACAAATCAACAAGGATTTTTAAAATACACCAGTCTAGTTTCAGAACAAAAAAGATGCAAAATGTGGCTCACCTGACACTGATTCTGGTACTTCTTAGACGGTCTGCCCACTATATATATCTGACTTGGGCTGAGGCCCAGCATGCTGTAGACGGAGATATCCTTCATGGAGCCGTAGGCCGAGTTGATCTTAATGTGACACTAACAACATGAGAAAAGATGAGCTGTGACTTTCTGACAGACAGCCTCAGGTCATGCTACAAAGGGAATTCACTACAAGTGTGATGTGTGTGATGTATATATGAGGGAAGGTGAGAACTTCAAAGAAACAGAACAACAGCATGAGAAATGGTGGAGAATAGAAAGAGTGGGAGGAAGACGACATGGAAGAAAAGTACATTTTGTCTAGCTAACAGGCAGTGCAGCCCTGCACGTGCACTCTACCTCCTGCATCAGGTTCCTGAGGAAGATGGTTTTCTGGCGCAGGGGGTCATGCACCAACCCCTCGGAGAAGAAGATCATGCCGTGGGGGAAGTTGTGCTGGGAAAGCCACGACACCACTCTCTGCTTCTGCATGTCTGGACGTCCAGTGATGTAGATGATCAGATAGCCCAGGTCCTGCCAGTGTCTGAACAGAGAATAAAGCAGCCACATTCACTCTCCATACAAGCACGCTCTTCAAAATTTAAACCAGTGGTCCACAAGTGGGCATTTCAGTGTCTGCAACATATGCTTTTAATGCCCGTGGAATGTTTGTAAAAACGAATCTTTTAATTTTGACTAAATCAGTTTTACTTCGACCTGTCCCAGTTATTACATAATCTCCTGATTGCAAGTAGCCAAGGCAACCGCAATCATTTCCCAAAATTGTTATCATCAAGTGTATCAGCACAACCATCACAGTGTATCAGCACAAGCTGAATGTGAAACGTATGTGTTTTCCTTAGTTGGCATGAAGCAAATAAATGTAAAAGAAAGCAGGAAACACTTTCCCAGGACAAGCTATGGGTCTTATGAAAAACATCAATAGTTTTTCAATTATCCTTGTAACTGGATGCTGTAACACATTCTGCAAGCATCTTTTTGCTCATATTTTCAGTGAAAAATATAAGCTTTGATTGATTCCAAACATAATTCTGTATAACTGTAGACAAACAAGTGCAATGTATTATTTAATGTCAGTATAACCTAGCATTAGCTGCAAAGGATATTTAGGCAGCAAAACAGCTAATCAGCCAGCTCAGCTCTTTTGTACTTGTATTTTCATTGTAGCATAAAATGAACAAAAAAGACAAATCATTAATCACAATTATTTAAATGATAATTAATCGTAAGCTGAATTTTAGTGATCATAACAGGCCTAGTTTTACTTACAGTCTTACATCTGATGTACACTGAACCTTGTGATCTCCCTTAATGTGGCCCATTCAGCACTACTCTGCACCTTAAATGATTACAGTTTGGGAGGAAGGCCACACCTGAAGCTCTTCCTTTTTCCTATTTAACTTCCTATAAATGTCCTTTTCTACCTTCTGTTTCCTGTGACAAAGTTTTCACATTTCCTCCCTTTTTCTCAGTCCTATCTCCGTTCATCAAGGGGGGTCCAGCTTTCTAGTTTAAAGCAGTCGCAGCACAGATCCCAAGCCCATGTTCTTAGAGGTCCCTCCCCTTCTGGAGTCATGCAGTTTTGTCTCACACTGCAACTATAGGTTTAAGGTGTGGTCCAAACATGTGGATGTATCATTGTATCACTGTATAAATGTTCATATCGATCTGCAATATATTCAAAATAACGCTAGATTACATGCACATGTACATATCTGCATATTTTCTTTTTTGACACTTTTTGTATACTCTATTTTTTTTTATTGAACAAGTTCCGAAAATGACGAAATTGGTTTTGTTTTCATGTGTTTTCTTTCTTCAATAGCTTTCGAATGGCAGGGCAAAAATGTTAGTGTGTACATTATGTTAACAACCAAGTTAATGTTTGCAACCAGGACAAGCAACTATCACTTTGTTTTTGTCTGAAAATGGTGTAGAACACACTGGTTAAAGTGGCAATCATTGGGGTCCAAGCACAACATGCCTTGTGCATTCAGTATAGATCTGTTAGCAGATATAAAGTTTTTAGACTAGTCTTTATTTATAATATTTGTTGAAAAGAAGGCAAAAAAATATGTCCAAATACCTGGAAAGCAGCACAATTTTTGACACTGGCATAGATGTTGAACTCAATTAACTAAATCATTCTATAAACCCTATATTACCTCTTTCCCTGTATTTTATTTTCAAAGTGCCCCAAAGTGCTTCATTTTCATGTTACAATCACAAAATTTTTCCCCTGGGGAACCAAGCTTCTGAACTGCCCTACAGATGGTTAGTTTCTGAACTTGTCATCTTTTTTACTGTTCATAAGTCTAAATGTGTGAGTATAGCTGGTTTGAAATAAACTTGTGTAGTTGATGCTTACAAACTGTTCTTTTTATAACAAATGTGTTTTGAGATATTATGAGATAATTATGGAGTTTGAAGGCATTTGTTTGGGCCCTTAACAGGGACTATGGCCCCATTATCACCCATAAAAAAAAAATAAAAAATCCTAGAATGGCCAATGCAATTACACATGGCAAATCACTGTAAACACTATATAGAATGTTAGATAAAACAAATAAATTATAAGTTATTCAAGAAAAAACATTATACATACTGATAGAAAGCTCTTGCCTGCCAGACGAGGACAAGGTTGAGGTTATGCTCATCATAAAATATTGTGCAGACCACTGCTGTAGACTCCTTGAAAGGGAAGACTGACAGTTTAATTCAGTTCAGAGTTAGCCTTAATGTGTGCCTGGAAAAGCTCCACAAACTGCCAGTTTGCTAACAGTGATATGCTATTTGATATTTAATTAGCTAACTATCAAATACACGCCTCATTTCTTTCTGCACTCTCTCATTCCACTCTCTCACTCTTGGGCTGTCCATCTGTTTCTCTCTGTCTCTACTGCAGCTCTCTCTCTCTCTCTCTCTCTCTCTCTCTCTCTCTCTCCCTCTTTCTCATACATATACTGCTCACCTGACCACATCCACGGCTCCAGGGCGCACTTTAGGGTCACTACCCATGATGGAGACACTAGCAGCGAAGGAGCCATCAATGCTAAACACTACACACTCCATCCCCCGAGGCAGGACCGTCAGGAAGGCCTCAGCACTCGTCTGGTCTCCCCTAAAGGCCAGAGGACAGAGAGGAGCCAAGAAAAAAAAAGGGGAGAGAAGGGGAGAGACAGAGAAAGACAGGACCAGAAAAAAGCGTAATCTTTAGCACAGACTGCACCAGGGGTCTTGGAATCAATTTTAGCACCTGCTAGAAAGCTATTGAGCACCAGCCCTGAGGTGAGAGGCTTAACAATTCACTCAACCATTCAAACTGAGGCCTACAGGGACAGCCTTTGAAGGCAAAGGCACTTTGACATACAATGCAACAGTGAATAAAACAGCAATTAACTATAAATCATTGCAACTGACACATCATAAGTAATCAGCAGGTGTCCTTGGAAAGACAGCCGTTGGCTTGGACTTACTTGACAACCATTTTAATAGGGTAAACCCCCACAGGCAGCTTTTTGCTGTCCGGGATGGTGTAGGAAACTCTGCCACTGCTGTTGGTCACCTCAGTGTCAAAGTGCACCCAGCGACCTGACTGAGGCTGAGTCATCAGATACACATCCACCTGAGAGAGATAGAATCAAATTTGTTAATTAGATAAATATGTTGAACATTCATTAGTTGATGATTAGTTTTTGATTGCTCATCCCAAAGGTTTTCTATGGTGCTCCGTCACTCAAAAAATAGCCCAATGCTGTGAGCTCCCTCTAGCCAAAGTTTGGGCATGGTGACCTTGGACTCATGTGTAGCTGCTTCAGAGTGTCAGTATTTTTCTATCATTATACAAAATGTGTGTTCATAATTGAACGCCTTAAACCTCAAATGTGCTGCATTCACTAATTATAAGGACACTTTTGGAAAGATACAGTACTGTGCAAAAGTCAGAGACCACCCTTCATTTATCTATTTTACAGTCAAAACAGCCATTTCTGAGGATATTAGATATGAGATAATCAATGTGCATAAGGAAGGGAAAAGTAAAAAAAAGCAAGTTTCCAAAACTGGAGTTCAAAAAATTATTAAAAGATATCGGACCTAATAAACATGCAAGACCTGGTAGACAACCAAAACTGTCACCATCAGATAAACAGCACTTAAAGCTTTCATCTCTGAGAGAGAGAACTTCAAACTCCACTCATTGCTTTATGCTATGAATCTGAAAGAGTTTTTTTCTGTCAAAATGCCAGAACTGGACATCTGAAATGTCTTTCATGTACATATTTAGCACTGTGCAAAAGTCAGAGACCACCTCATCATCTATTTAATTTCCAGTTAAAATGGCCATTAAAACTCTAAGTTTGAGGATTTGGAGTCCTCTCTGGTGGAAGTGTGTAATTGCATGCAATGTATAGATGAACACTGTGTAATGTATTCTGTTGCAGCTGACAAGAAGTCATTACTAAGAAAAGGAAATAGACAAAAGATGAATTCTGCATCCGAACTGGACATCTGTGATGTGGATGTATGTTGTATGTACCTTAACATCATTGAATGTGTTTGGGATTACTTGGATCATAAAAAGCAGAATTCTAAGCAACTTCTAAGACTGAACTTTGGAAGTGTGGAAAAATATCACTCCAGTTTTCTTTGAAAAACTGTAAGCAGGTCTCTCAAAAGGAATGGAAGCTGTAATAAAGAAAAGGGTGACAGATTAAATGCCAAAAATATATATAGACTTAGTTGTTGAGGCTTCTGTGCAATTTTCTATTGAATATTGTTTTCTGTTCTTTTTCTAACATTTAAAAATGAATATTTTTTTGACAGAAAATTAAATTCTGGTCTCTGATTTTTGTATAGTACTGCAGTATATATACATATACTCACACCTTGCTGGCCCACCTAAAGCTTATCTGTTTTCTACACTACAGTTTATCTGTTTTTTACACTAAAGCTTATCTGCTTTCTAGTCTTTCATCAGTGTTCACTTTAAAACCTCAGGTCTACTTTTGGCTGGACAGTTTAGATTGGCAAACTAATTTCAATGCAGTAGTAACACTACAGTGTGTAAAAACTCCAGCAGTACTGCTGTGTGTGATCCACTCAAACCAGTACAACACAAGAATATGCCAGGTTGGCATCACTATTGTGCTTAGAATGGTCCACCACCTAAAGAATATCTGGTTAATGGTGGGCCTACAATTGCCCCTTTCCGTAAATGCACATATCTTGTAGATGTTTCTGATAAAATAGCCGATGAGGTTCTTGTTAATTAACTGATTAGATGAAGCAGGTATGTTAGAGCAGGGAAGAGACTTAACTACACAGGGGAAGGGCACTTCAGGACCAGAGCTGGGAGTCAAAGAATTAAAGGAAACTACATGCAACTCTCAAGAGTTTAGCTGATCAGGTGGATGCACATTGATCTCATACCTTCTCTCCTGTCAGAGTGACCATGTCCAGAGGGCCATACATAAAGCGACCAACCAGTATCTGTGGCCCGTCCTCTGTCGCGATAACATCATTCACACGGTGGTTGGAGGTAACATTCTGCAGGGAGAGAAACAGAGCTAGTAGATTTCCTCTGTATTTTTGCATTTTTTTCAGTCTTTCTTCTAACAGTTAAAAAAACTACTGCTTAAGTATGCAGTGCAGGGTCTTTCCAAAAGATGGTGTCGCATCTCACTTTAAAAATGATTTCTTGTCAAGTGTAAGCATCTTAAATGTAGGCAGAACATGTGTAATATTTCTCATTACGTGATTGTGATAAGAAAGGTCCTAGACATTTTTACTTATATTAGAGGTCCAACTTACATTTTGTACTTTATTGTTTTGCCTGAGGTCGACTAATGACACATATGTAATAATTCATTTTTACATGACACTTTTCCTGCCTCTCTTTACTGAACAGGCTGCTTTTGAAACTGTACTTTTAAGACTGATGAATGTAAATGAGCTCTATTCTGACTGGCTGCTCTGTATTGTGTGTCATTCAAAAAGCAGTTGGGTCTGACAGATTCTTTATAACTGCAGCATGAACTAAACTGCTGTAGGCTGAATAGGTGAATAGGTACATTTGTGCAGGTGCAATTTTGTTCAGCAAGGTATAAACAACGTAAATGTACCCTCAAAGATACAATTATGGTGTTAAGGTCTAACTGTGTACCTTAAATAAGTTTTTCCCATGGGAAAGGTACACCTTTGTACCTTTTCATAACCGAATGTTTTAAAAACAAACAATAAAATAAAAAAGCCCGGAGTCAAAACAGAGTGTAAAGAAGCAGCACAACTTCCAAAATATAATTGCAATGATGTTCCCTATTGAAGACCCCAGTGATGTGAGGGGTTCCACCAAAGTAATACTTGAGTATCTTTTTTCTGAGAATGCATTGGCAGATAACTTTTGCTTATTCCAAACAATGCTTAAAAGAAGTATTGAAAGTGAAGTATTTAACTGAAAATGAAATTATCTGCTAGTACGATAAGGCCATTTCACTTGATGAAGATCACCTTATATAGATATAAAAATAGGTTAAATCATCTTATAACATTCTTACAACAACCTAATAATTAAAAATATTACATATATTGGCTACATTTCAGATTCTTTCACTGTCAAAGATATAATTTTTGCTGTGCTCCGTGCAGCCGTCCATACTAATCCTGCACTTCTCCAATAAATCTTATTTCAGCTAGCCTGACTGACTGCAAGAGTGCAAAAGATATATTCCACAGCCTTTGCTGAGGTAGCCAGACTGCAAAATTAAAGCAGCCAGAACACTGACACATGCAGATTCTAACGATTGCTGGTTACAGTAGCCTTCAAGCTAGAAATATAGCTGACTGCCTTTGAAATAGAAATATATATGCAGATTTCCCATCCTGTCTGACAGAGGCAGAAAATCACTCTGTCAGGAAGTGCCCTTGCTTTTCATATAGGCCTGACTTGAAGTCTGACAAGCAATATACTAGGCATTGTAATGCATGTTAGGCACCAGGCCCATTCTCTTCATGATGGTACTGCAGAACTCCCCTTATTCATGGGTTTAGGTATGACAGCTTTGGAAAATGAAAGAAACACCATCGTACTTACCGTGAATGCCTCACACAAAGCGCAAATGAAGATTTTCTCAGTTCAGTCACACGTAAATGATGTAAACCAACCTGCCATTCACCATGCATGGATTTAAGCTCTGAACATAGCGCACCGCTCTATCAATCGTTAGCCCACACAAGCTAATGAGCCTGATTGAGCAGATTTGTCTTCTAATGAAGCAGTTAAACATTTCCAGGCTTTCAGAGGATTTGCATATCAATTAAGCCGGTCAATAATTAATTCTCACCAGTGCTTATGCTAGAACGCCATATGATGAGCCATACATACACAGAAATACACTCACATATGCACTTACACACACAGACAAAAGTGGGTACATATTCCGCTGGTGCATCTCTCTAGTAAAGCCTCACAACGTATCACAACGTGTTATCATTATTGTGATAAATTACTTCGCAAAGCGCTTTTCTGTATCATCGGTATCATTAGTACTTCTAGTACACTAAACAACTGCATATATCCTAAAAAAGACTGTAGTAGCTGCATTGGACATCTACCTGAGCAGATGAATTTGATGACGGCGAGAGCACTGATTGAGCATTAAAAGAGAACTCTGGAGGACGTATCTTCCGAGGATGTAAGTGAATTATCTATTATAGTCATCATATTTTCATCAGTATGATGTTGATTTTGCAATTGAGACCTAAAAATCAAGCCAGATTTTCTTTTTGAGCCTGTACGTGACGCATGATGTGGTCTGATAAACTACTGCTAAATCTGACACCTCTGACTTTTAAATGATTATTTCAGGCTTTACAGGGATTCACAGCAGCGCACGCACAGTTTAGCGTGATTTATTTTTCCTTATTCAGTAATGCTGCTTCTTTTTTAACAAAAAAATCTTACAAAGTGCATCTTTTAGTAAACGCTGTTTATTTTTAATTTTCAGAAAAAATTATATATAATTTTATGTGTACACCAAAGCCTCCAACACTATGTATCTATCTATCAAAGCTATCAGTGTTTAATTTGTCCCCTCTTTACTCTTTTGTGCACTCCAGTGAAACTTTAAGTCTTCCATCCTTCCAATCTGAAAACCATTGAGTTACAGCTGTGTCCTTTCAATAAAGTCTGTTCCCAAAGGAGTCACTGACATTCACACAAGCAACTACAGAAAAACACCTTAGCTGTCTTGCAAATTGCTTTCTCATGTGCATCTAAAATTGATAAAATAGATGTTTCTGAGGAGTTTCAATTTGAGATAATCAACTTGAATGAGGCAAGGTAAAGTCAAAGGAAAATATGTTTAAAAATACTGAGTTTCCAAAAATGCAGCTCAAAACATTACGGAAAGATATAGAGAAAATAGGACTCCTAATAACCGTGCAAGACCTGGTAGACCACCCAAACTGACACTATCCAATAACAGTATTTAAAACTTTCATCTTTGAAGAATAGGAGGATATCTAGGTCCACTTTTGCTTCAGATCTGAAAAAATCCACATCATTCTGAACACTGGAAGTGTGGAAAAATACCCTGCAGTGCAAAGAACATACTGCAATCCTGAGAATGATTGACCACCCATTGACTTACATTAAAAATAAAATATGTTTCTTCCTTCTCCTGTAGAGTTATCATTTTGGATACAAGGTTTTCTTCTGACAACAGCGATATATATATCGCACACAGGACAGCATGTACACATTCTCAGGCTAAGCAGAGCAATGTGGGGGGACGCCTAAAGTATATAATGTAAAAATATTCAGGGGAAAAAAGGGCAGCCTGAATAAAATGCCACTGGCAGCCTCGGCAAACCATCTGATCAAACCCTCTTTTCAAGTGTCTTGAGTAAAAATCAGTGCTTTGGAGAAGGCTGCATAGAAAAGGGCCGAAATTTCACATCAAGGTCCTGCTGATCAAAGCACTCCCTCCTTCTGAAAAGATGTGTTGAGGACGAAGAAATGTTCCAGCCTGCTATATTTAACCCAAATCAAAAGCTGAAGAGACAGAGCTGGATGGTAATTTTTTTTTTGAAAGTCAAAGCTGATATAGCAGAACGACCTTGCACAGCCAGGCTTCAGTGGTGCCTTGGTGGGTAATTGTGCTGTTGAAACCTGTGCTCAGACTCAAGGTAAGGCGCTCGGCTTATTTTTGTGCGCGGCAAATTTCCGCCCACACACGCAGAGCTATTGTGGTGTATTTGAGGAGAATAACATCTTGGCATCACTGAGGATATTTTTAGTTCCTCTTTCACAGTGCCAGGGCTATGCTGCCTGCTTGCTGTCACTTGACTGATGTGTGTTTGTGAGTGTGAGTGTGTGTGGGCAGTATAACACTGAGCCAGTCTTGCTCGCCTCACACTGAGAACTAAATGAGAACATTACTCAGCACATGGGCCACAGAGTGTTACAATTAATTACACTGGGAGTTTATCAAGCACGTCGTCTGAAGGGTATTGAGACAAACCTTCTCGACACATTGCCAGACTGGGCTGAGAACATGAAGCTTAATTATATACTAGCAGGCTTCTACTGTTAGCACACAATGCTAATGAATATACAACCAAATGGTGCATGTTTATGAGAGAATAAGAGCGAGAGAAATGTAAGGAGAGAAGAAAATGTGTTATTTGTGCGAATTTATATTTACAACATTTGGCAGATGCTCTTATCTAGTGCGATTTTACAGAACTGCCTTGTTGCCTAATGGAAAGCATTTTTACGATAATGCAAATAGGCCAGAGACTAAAGATACCATCAAGCTAAGACACTACTAGAAAAAAGAGTCAGTGCTGATTCATAAACATATAAATATATAGAGATTACAAGAGTATAACACTTCTTTTATTGTTCCTTTGAAGAGGTGTGCTGCCAAAAATGTCAAAAAAACTAAAGTTAGGTAGATAACAAACATGTAACAACTGGCTAAAACCTCAACTTCTGGCTGTACTTATCATAATCTGACACATTCATATTGTAGCTAGGTATCTTCACTCTGTAACTGCTTACTATTATACTATTATACTATATTTTAAATATGGCCTAATGTTCATCATATAGCAATCTTACTACATTCTGTCATAACTTAAGCAATTACTGACTAGTGTTACTGTCTCAGCTCTCGTTTTGCAGTGTGAGCACAGCCAAAGCAACGCAGGAGTAGAGCGAATGCGGGCCTTCCCCAGGGGCTGGTCATGTACAGATGAACTGTGACTGTTTTTGTTACATGATATCATTCAATGTCATCAGTGGACCTCAAGAACATGTAGATAAAATACAAGAAAATGTAGAACACGGGCCCTTTAAGACATTCTTTCTTATGTTATAAGGACAGAGTTTTATTTCAGTCTGTGTTTGAAGACCATAAGGGATTCAGCTTTTGCGACAACCAGGGGAAGTTCATTCCACCACCTGAGTGCCAGTACAGAGAAAAGTCTTGATGCTTGTCTTGAGGTGTCGTGAGTCAAGCCAAGCTGTACACGAGGCTTTGAGGGCTCATGGTGCATTTTTTGGCTTTGTGGGCAGCCATCAGGGTTTTAAATCTAATGTGGGCAGCTACAGGAAGTCAGGAGAAGAAATACAGCAGTGGACTGACATTGGGCAAGCTTAAGAAGATTGAAGTCAAGCCATGCTGCTGCATTCTGGATCAAGGATCAAGTTGTGAGGACCTAATAGCCCACACAGGAGGACCAGACAGCAGTGAGTTGCAGCAGTAATGAGTTGTTCAGTAATCTCAAATAGATTTGCTTGCCATCAATTAGCATCATGATTAAATATTTCATGCCTAAATCATCACACACTTGCCTCAAGTTGTTTTAACTCTTTTTTTTTCTTTTAACTACAGTATATCATACTGAGTGGTTATGGAATTATGTAGATGCTATTTTAGATAAACAAAATGGTAGAGTGTGTTCACCCTTAGCTTGACATGTGTGCGTCTGCGTAGCCACTTCTCTCTGGGGCTGGAAGGGGAAAAAGAGGTGGAGTCGGAGCTGTCTGCCTCCTGAGCCTTCACGCAGTCACACCGCATCACCTGTCAATCACACAGAACACACACACACATGGGAAACCTGTGATCGCACTCCCTCAGCATGGTGGGAATCCTTCAGTGCCTCATTCAGAGGAAAACTCAAAACAGGATAACACATTCTCTTTACACTAAAACCAACAGTTTATCCCAGAACCTAGCACAGACAATCTTTGCATTTCCTTTAGTCGACCAGGGACCTGTTTCTGAGAAAAACATTTCTTGTTTAGCTTGATCTAACTCAGTACTTTCTGGATCTCATTTTACAGTGGATCATATTTTACTGGGCTAGATCACCACAGCAGCTTATGCTGCACACTTAAACTGCTCCAAGGCAGGTTAGGTTTGGATCATTAAAAGCTCTTGGACAGAATTTCTGACCAATCAGAGAAGGACCCCTCAGGTCCTTTTTGGACCACTTCTTTTCTTTGTTACATTTGTGGTGTCTATCACGTGAAAAAAAAGGCTTTTCAGCAGAGAAAACAAATCATTCTACACAGATATTAAGAATATAAAACAATTATTACAGCAACAAGCACTAACATGGTGGCAGTGGTGACACGGTTGCTTTTTACTATTGTCAATATTTTACTTTCTACATATTTACACAGTATGATTTCTGTTCCTTCTTTGAGAAATAAGGTAATAAATAGTAAATAAATAGTCCTTTAATATCAAAGAAAAGTCACAAGTACTGTTCAGATTGGATTGTATTCTTAGTGAATGTAAGCCTAAATCTGTCATGTCAGAAAATTTTTTGTGAATCTCATGTGAGCTGCCATGGTGGTAAATATTCCATCTTAACCTATATAAATCACATTTGCACAGTTTTTCATGCATGGTGTCCACATACATGAACAGTTCTTTTGATTCTGTGATATTTGTAAGAAATCAAGATTCATTTATTTTGTTTAATTTATGCATGAAAGGATTAAGTATAGAGTCACTCAAGAAGTATTTACATTGCCTCTCTGACAAGGCTAATTAGACCCTGTGTTAACTAGTTTTGTGCGTGGTTAATATGAAATTTTGATTTAAATATTCGGACATATTTTCTAAATGTATTGTGTATGGAACTTTTTAAAAGTGAAGACAATGCATAAATTGAGCAGCCACATCTTTAACCCATCTCTGTAATTTATACTGAGATTTCTTATCTTGTTATGGGTCGTACATTACAGACGTCCTCAGGTACAATGATATTGCCCTCCTCCCTATGTAAAACAAATTCCATCTGAATGGCACTTTAGTCTTATGCATTACCTGTCTGAGCAAGAAGGCCACAACATCAGTAGACTCCCAGTAAGAAGCATGGAACAGGTGAGGCAGAGCCACAGTGGGGAAGGCAGTGAGGACATCAGGACAATACAGTGCATAGTCCAGCCGTTTGGAGCCCCACCAGCTACTGGAGACTGAAACACACACACACACACCCTAGTAATAAACCTATAAAAACTCATAATGATCTCTTCCACAAGGTCTTTTTCCTCACAGCAAAAAGTCACTGGCGAAGTATAGTTATGCACAGGCAGCACTTGACAGACACAAACAAATGTGTCATTAAAGCTGTTCTGCTTAGGGCTAATGGATAGCACATTAAAGCTTTCAAGGTAATAAAGACTGCCGTAGATGTGTTTTACTGGGTTTACATGCAGTTCAGCCAGAATATAGACAGCACTAGAAGTTCTATTTGAGCTAGAATGATGATGTATAATGGGTTTAACTCCACAGATGAAAGAACATGACTAATAGAATAGAGCGGTGCTGAGCTGGTGTGGGTGAGTTTAGCTTGCAGAATGGAAAGTGTGCCTACTGAAACAACCCACTCACTGTTGGCAATGGTGCAGCTGAGCCTGCTTTCCCAGCAGCCGGATGACTGGCTATCCATGCTGGTCAGGCTGGCCCTGCGGCCCCCGCCACCCACCAGCTTCACTGCTCTCTCTGCCTCATCCGCCTTCGGGGAGGACGGGGGTGGAGCGGCCCCTGGAGCCGGACTCCCATCCAGGAACACATCAGTGTGGCTGTGGATGTCATCGGCTGCAAGGAGATAGTGACATGACGCATTAGTGAAATTAATCAGTGCTCCTAAAATGTAGATACTTTCTATTTCTTTGTTGCTTATCCACATCACAGCAGCACACTGTATGCATGTATCAGTAACTATGTTATGATACCAACTGTTTTTCCTGCCACTGAAACCCTAGGGACTGGCTGATAATGATCCAATATTTGTTTGCATTAAAACTACAAAGCTTTATAATGAACAACTTCAACTGAGGGATTTCACTTAAGATGGCTTCCTGAAAGCACCATGGTCAACCTGAACAAACACCACTGCCCTACAGCCAGAAATATCTAGCCAACAACAAGACACCAAACACCCTTTTTTGCATCTTTTTTCATCAGTTATTTATATTTCATATAAATAAATAAATAAATGAATAAATAAATAAATACATTTAGAAGATATACACTATATGGACAAAAGTATTGGAGCATTGGGACACCTACACATTAAACCTGCAAAAGCTTTTATGACATCCCATTCTAAATCCATAGGTTGGTCCCCCCTTTATGGCCTTACTTTGTGCACTAGGGCACAGTCATGCTGGAAGAGAAAAGGGCCTTCCCCAAACTATTTCCACAAAGTCACAATTTCAAATTGTTCCCAAGAAGCATACAATTGTCCAAAATGTCTTGGTCTGCTGAAGCATTAAAATTTCTCTTCACTGGAACTAAGTGGCCTAGGGCAACCCCTAAAAGAACAACCCCATAGCACTATCCCTCCTCTACCAAACTTTACAGTTGGCACAGTGCAGTCAGACAGATAACATTCTCCTGGCATTCGCCAAACCCAGACCTGTCCATCAGACTGCCAGATAGAGAAGGATGATTTGTCAGTCCACAGAATACATGTCGACAGAATTAAAAATAAAAATACAAGAAAAACCAACAGAAATATATTAAATATACACAAAATATACACAGAATAAAGAGACAACATACATTTTAAAGTGACTAAGTGACTCAGTGTTGTTATTTAAAGTGACTTGGTACCTTTAAACCAAAGTATTTGTAATGATCAATAATGAATTTACTTCCAATATCTTTTATTAATAAATCAAATGGAAGTGATGTGGCAAGTCAACTACAAGGCTCTCATTCAGTGCTCTTGTTTGGAGCACGAGACGCTGCTGCCACTCATCTGTGATAAAATGCGCAGTTACGGTGAAATAAGATCCAGTGGCAGTGGATGTCCACGCAGCGCATTACAGCTATTCTACCTGTTTTCTTTAGTGATTTTATAACTTCGGTTTTGGTCTCGTTGTAGAGAATGGGGCAGGGGAATCGCTGTGTCAGTAATATATGTTCGAGACGGGACGTGTGCAACATAGCGCGAAAGCCCTGTTTCGCAACGACTGAGAACCGGCATGCAGACTGCAGGTCACCTAGCAACGATGCGTTATTCGCATTTATAAGCACCGCAGTTGGTTTCCTGGTACGTTAAATCTGCAAGGAGAGACTGTCAAACACTAAAAAGTGGCGAAGCTGAAGTCGCTTCTCTTTCGAATTCTCCCGTTCCACCTTAAATGGTGCCGCATTTACATTCAGCGCCTCAGTTAGAATTAAGGTGGAACGGGTAAATTCGAACAAGAAGCAGTCGAACGTTGAGAGACATTTATCTGATCTACTTCTGAGGAAAAGTTTTCTGGCGGAGATGGGAGGAAAGCGGCTATAGCTAAAGTTTAAAGCACAGCAAAGTAAATCTGCATTTTCGTTTATATTGTTTAGCCTATACTAGGACATTAACACATACTGAGACATACTGGACATTAAATGTTGTGGCTCCCAAGATGGTTTCATTTTTGTTGAAAGGACAACATGTCTCTTCTTAACATTTGGGGTGTGACTCCTCATCTAACTTGGCTTTTAATGCAGAGGGAGCCGGTCGGATTTCTCGGTCTTCCACTTGTGTTTTTGTTATGTGCCGCCACAGACTGTCCGGGCGCTGCACTTCCGCACTTCCAAGATCCGCCTTTTGCGTTCTGTCAACATGTTATACATTAAATATTTAGAAAATCGATTTTTGACATTTGTGAATCGATTCAGAATCTTTCACGTCCGCATCGCGATGCATCTAAGAATCGATTTTTTCCCGCACCCCTAGTGTATATCACTTACATTGCAACTGAGTGCCAAATTAAGGACATCTTAAATAAATTAATTAAAATTCTTATATAATACTTACTTTCTCTACTTATGTTTATGTTAACATTAAGGCTACATGTGGCTGCTGTTGCTAACACATGACTTACTTCCCTTTACATTGTGCTACAAGATTTCTGTGATATCTCAGGCTAGATTTATTTCTGAATTAGACTTGTAGGCCTAGATGCTATCTGAAAAATAACCATCATGATATTTTCTTGTTAAAATTGGGGGTTATATTGCCATCCCCTCCCCCACCAGACCCTCCTCTGACACTCACATATGATCTGCTGCATCTTAGGCCTTCTTCTTGTGGTATCTTTAGCTTATACACTTTTAAGTATTAACTGGTTTAATTTAAATCTTCTGAAAATATTATATTAAATAATTTAATATTAAATATCTCAATACGCTTTGGCACTAAACTATTTCACCTCTCATTCTAAAATTTTGAAGCATATTCACAAACTCCTGCTGGTATGCGGACTGCTAAATGTGAACAACTGACTGAGTTCCAAAAAAGAGGTGCATCTAAAAAAGAGGTGTTTTCCATCTTCATGATGGAGGAAATCTGGAACTCTGAAGCTAGAAACCATGAAGTAACTCATCCGAACCATTGGGACACTTAACCTGTACAGAAAATGATGAGGATTTTCCTCAGAGAGTATGAGACACTCTGGGAAGACACAGCAGAGACAGTCAAACATTTAATCTACTGATGCCTAATGGCTTATTAATGCCCCATAATAATCCATTGTTTTAATAGTAAAAGGCAATAATAAAAATAATGCATTTACACATATTTTAATAGTATTTAGCAAGCTGTTGAGAATTACATTAGTCTAGTTCTCAATCAACGCTCTTCCTTAACATGGCAATTATGACCTTTGAAGCATCACTATTGGGTTACTTGTCCATCACCAGCAATATCTGATTACATAGCCCTATCACTCAGGCCTTCAGATCATTTTTCCCCCCATCTATTCAGCATTATCTGCTGGTATATGCATTACATTATCTGCCTGATACTGGCATATCAACAACGTCCTACCAGTCTTACTGCTGGAACAGTGTGAATTCTCTATTGTCCACACTGGATTTTGTTTCTTTTACTATTTGTAGATTTGACTGCATTTTTATTGAGACACAGTGATGACTAACTGCTGTAAAGAGTTGTTTTTCTAACTCTAAAGTGAACAGCTACTCATTCAACTATAAATAGATGAAATGACATTATTCAATTGACCTTCTTTTCTAAGTATCCACTTACTCATCTACTTATCTTATGTGTGTGTGTGTGAGAGGGGTGTCGTGTTATAGAACCCTATATTCAAGCTGAGTCACAAAGAGAATGCATTTGCTCCATGACAGAAAATGGAATAGTTTTAGTGTGTTAGGAAATAAACGTAAACTAAGGTTTTCTTTCACTTATTCCAAACACGGCTGAGGCATCTAGCTCCTCGTGTCTGTGGAGAAGAGCTAAATGTTTCCTAATGTAAATCAAGCACTCGCCTTTCAACTCTCATAAATTCCCTGAGTGTTAACCACGGCTAATCTCTCCCTTTATAGCTATGCGTCTTCCACACAGCCTGCTATTCCTGATAGAGCCAAATCGAATGTGTTTTCATTACACTGGGCGACTGTGTGGAAAACATCCCATTAGACAGGGCCATATAACGGCTTCAGCCACAGCCTGGTACACACGTTTCTGTGTGTTTATGTGTGCGCAGTGACCTGTTCCAATGTGAATCACAGCTGCTACAGGTGGCAGAGATGCACCTTTCTGGTCTGGTGTCATTGCAACAATTGGCTCTTCTCATTTGCCAGCCCATTGGACTTGTGAGTGGCAAGCCATTGGGCGATCATGACATGAGCCTGTTTGAGCGGGCTAAGGAAGAAGCGGGGATTTTTACTGTGGGAGAATGTGAGTGGCAGTGGATGTAGGGGTGGAAAGTGTTATTGTTATTGTGATAAATAATATCACAATATGTTTTTTTTAATATATCATAGGTATCATCAGTACTTCTAGAATAACTGCCTGAAAAACAAATTTACACTGATTATAAAAAGCCTGTAACCACAGCTCGGGTATGTTCTTTTAAAAGGGTTGAAAGAACCATTCAATGGACTGTTCTTTAAAGAAACATGTTTAAAAACTTTAAAGAAATGGGAGACCTCTCTGGTAAAAAATGACAATTGCACACAGTATGCAGAAGAATATTTTGTAACGTCAGCTGTGCTTCGGACCCCTTCCCTGAGGGATAAATCTGATGATTGCGAGTGGGTTGAAGGCATATTCAAAGAGAACTCAGTCAAAGCTTGATGAACAACATGTCTTTGGAGGATGTAAGTAAAGTATCTACTACTGTTATCATATCTTTATCAGAATAATGTTGATTTTGCATGTGAAACCTAGAAATTGAACAAGACCTTCTTTTGAGCCTGTACACGTGATATCATTATGTGAGCTCTTTAGAATGACCCGAACTTTCACAAATGTTTGTAAAGGCAGACTGCATGGCAGGGTGCTTGATAGGTTACACCTGTGGCAATGAAACTGAATGAAACACCTGAATTCAGTGATTAAGAGGTGTGTCCCAGTATTTCTGTCCATATGACGTATATCACTTGCACTGCAACTGAGTGCCAAATTAAGGGCATTTTAGATAAATGAATTGTGATTCTACTAGAATACTTATTTTCTCTACTTATGTTTATGTTAACATTAAGGCAACATGTGGCTGCTGTTGCTAACACATGACTTACTTCACTTTACATTGTGCTACAAGATTTCTGTGATATCTCAGGCTAGATTTATTTCTGAATCA